GTAGTGGGGAATGTCAACATCTTGATTATGTCATTATTTTCTCTTCAAGTTACATGTGCTATCCATTTTAGCCGTTATTACTCTTTCCATTACTGGTTGGGGTTTCCTTCCTAACCTTAATTTGAAGTAGTGGGGAATGTCAACATCTTGAGGTACTCTTTCCATTAGTTGGGGTTTAAGTATTTAATAATATCCAACACTCTTTCCATTACTGGTTGGGTTTCCTTCCTAACCTTTTTTGTTTGAAGTAGTGGGGAATCTTTTATGTCATTATTTTCTCTTCAAGAAACTATCCATTTTTGTTTTCCATTACTGGTTGGGGTTTCCTTCTAACCTTTTGTTTTTGGGGAATGTCAAATATTTTCATTATTTTTTTGTAGGATATCCATTTTAAATTACTCTTTGTATTGGGTTGTCTGTCAAATCTTGATTAGTCATTATTTTCAGTTACATAATTTTATCCATTCATGTTCCATTAAATTTTGTTTGAAGTAGTGGGAAAGTCATCTTGATGTTCCAACATATGCTATCCATTTTGTTTAGAAGATGTCAAATTTAGTTCAACAGATATTCAAAGAAGGATATCTTGCCTAGGGTTCACTTGCTCAAAGCCACTAGTGTTCTCAGAAAGTGGTTCAAAGTCTTAATATTTAGCATGGCACCATCTGAAAAGAGGGTTTTAAAATTAACTTGAACAGGTTAATTTGTTTTGTCAATTTGTTGTGTTGGATAAAATTCTGTACAACCTATTCTATGTAATTTGATATAAAAAATGGAAAGTATTTAATAATTCAACATCCTGAATTTTAGGCTTTTCACTAAATATTTTTCATTTTTAGGATATCATTTTAAATTACTTGTATTGGGTTGTCTGATGCAAATTTTTTTTTTCAACATGTTAAAGATGTCAAAAATCAAGATATAATATGCCTATGTTTCGATTAGAGCACCCTTCAAACTAGCAACAAAATAGATATATTTTAGACACTTGATGCTTTTTTTTACTGTAAAGGTAAAATACTTTAACAAAATAGATAGAACTGTTTAGAAGTTTGGTGGTTTTTCTAAGTTTAGAGTTGGTGATTGTAGCCTTATTGATGAAGAACACTCAGGCAGATCCCCCCCACTACATATGACAACCAAATCAAGATATTGATTGAGAATAACCCATATTAACCAATGTGGGAATAGGCATAAACACTAAATTTATCAAAACTCAGCATCCATGAGCATTTAGTGAAGCTTGGGGTACTCAAATTGCTACAATATTTGGGTACCACATGATCTGAGTGAAAAGAATCTTCTGGATTGCATTTCATCTGTGATTTGTTGTATAAGCACAATGAAAATACACCCTTTTGAGGTAAATTGTGGCAGGTGATGAGAAATAGATTGTTTACAACAATGTTCAGTGAAAAAGATCCTGGGGTAAACAACATGAGCCAACTTTAGCCACCTCAAAAGCAGGTTTTCATCCTAAGAAAGTAATGCTGTGCATCTGGTGGGATTGGAAAGGAATCATGTACTAGAAACTTCTGCCAATTAACCGGTCAGTTGATTCTGAAAAGTACTGCTCGCAACTGGAAAGGTGTTTTTTTCGTCAGGATAATGCCAGACATAACATTTCTTTGGGGACCCGGCAAAAATTGTTGCAGCTTGGCTGGGATGTGTTACCCCACCCACCATATTCACCAGATATTGCTACTTTGGATTTTCATTTATTCTGGTTCTTGCAAAATAATCTCAATAGTAAAAATTGTAATTCTTTGGATGACATAAAAAATCCTTGAGTTCTTTGCTGAGAAACGACCAAAATTATGGGAAGATGGAATCTTTAAGTTGAAGGAAAAATGGAGAAAGGTTGTGCAACAAAATGGTTCATATTTAGTTGAATAAATATTTAATGGCATAATTTTGTTTTGTGTTCTTATTTCCCTTAAAAATCGGCATGAACTTTCCAAACAGTCTAGTTTTAAGTTAAGATATTTTTCTATATAGTTTTGGTGCTTGACATGCAGAAAAGTAATTCTTTTTTTTAATATTTATTCATAAGTATTATTCAGATGTTCATTGGTAGCACCATGTACAATGAAATTGAAAAAAATAAAAATTTAATAATTCTTCAATGTTTTTAATGTTTTATATTATTCTATTTTTTTTACTTTGTTTTTCATTGTCAGATAGAAGAAAAACTACTAAAAAATTAGTTTAGATAATTTGACTAATATATAGTTTCATGGTAAATGGAAGGTAACAGGTTTGATTCCTGTTGCAGGATCATACAGTAGTAACAGTGACTGAAGGTTTCATGTGTTTCTATTGTAGTTATTTACTAAGTGTAGCTTAGATGTCGCACAAGGTTGCAAGCATGGAGCACCTAGTGCGAATTGAGCTTACACTTGATTGTAATTGATTTAGCGAGACAAGCTTACTAACCACTGCACCACATCTAGGTACCCATTTGTTTTCATTGTATATACACAGACCTAATACCAATTTATTTCTTAACTTGCAAAAATTTATTAAAGTATTGCAAAATGGAATTATTTTTACTGAAATGTTATTTTCTGTTTACATAAGCTGTTTTCAGAGTATTTGATTTAATTGGCCAATTCATATGAAAATATCTTAAATTTTTATTTAAATTTTTCATAAATTTGACATTTTTAAAAATGTAAAAAGAGAAATATTAATAAGTTATTGATTGCAAAACTTTTTTGTTTTTTAAATTATTTAATCAATTTTGAATTTACTATTAAACTTAATGAGATTTCACTTATGCAAACTAATGGCATCAGTTTAAGAAATATTACAAATTGTATAAACATTTGTTTTTTTGAAAATAAAAAATTTCGGATTCTTTTATATATATATATATATATATATATATACACACACACACACGCACACATAGTATTAAAGAAAAACAAAAACTATTAGTGGAAGTAACGGACAGCTTACTAATACCTAAACTCTTATCCAGAAACAGTGTCTAATAAAGACAACAATACTGAAAAAAGAAAGAGAAGAAAGCCAGGAAGCAAACTCACCTATTTAGCAAAGTGCTCAAAGCCTAGATTGCCTAGACTGAGCAAAAAATGCTTACTAACGTTAAACCCTATTAAAGGATGGCTCTATTTGTAACTTGAGTTTCACACAACGTGTTCTTCAAATAACTTGAACAGAAATGAAAGAAGGGAGGGACGGTCTTTATATAACCTTTGATTGCTCTAAAGCATCATGAGGGAAAAGAAAATTATATATATATATATATATATATATAGGTTTCACGGAAAATCTTTAGACATTTCATTACTACCATCATCAAATGACTTTAGTCAATATAAAATACATAAATAACACTAGTGATTATTATATGGGATATTGTAGCAAGGGCCAAATTTTAGAAAGGGAAAGGTGATAGATGTAATTTATGCCTTGCTGAAAAATTAGTTATCTTAAAACATTTAAATAACCTTAACTTATTAAACAGAGGAAATGAATTGATGGTTACATGTAGACACAAAACAAATATCTTCTGAAATACATTAATCCAGATTAATTTTTAATGTAAAATATGTTTTTTCTTTTTTAAAAAAACCAATAATCTAACTTTATGCTTAATAAAGTAATAATATTTACAACACTAAAGTGATTTTTTTTACATTATATGTACTCTGTTTATTTTAAATACCAAATATATTTAAAAAAAAAAGGAATCCCCATATATTATAATATATGACTGCATTAACATTGCAGTGATCAAATATTTTTATTAAAATTTAAATTACCTAGCAGTTAGTTTATATTCAGCACCTAAGAATGCGTTGTGCTTGACACTCCATATTGTGCATATATATATATATATATATATATATATATATATATATATAGAGAGAGGGTTACTGAATGAGGAATAACCAAAATGGAGGTTGGAAATGAAATGGTAATCTTTATAACATCAACAAAATACAATACTCGCCAGAGGCATGAAGTAGATAACCCACTGCTAGTGCTGGACTACATACCCATTAGTTTTCATATGTACGGTATATAACAAAATATATATATATATATATATATATATATATATGCAATACTTATTGAAAATCACCCAATATCGGTGATGGAGATAACATATTTAGTTGTATGGATATGAGTTTGTGACCCTGGGTTTCACACTTTTGTGATCATCAGACAAACTCTGATTTGTCTGCTGTGTGATGATTGCAAAAGCATAAAACTTAGGCTCACAAACTCATATCTGTACAACTGAATATATATAATTTGAATTTGAAAGAAATAGTGAAAAGTGCTTAAAAAAGTAATGTAATATTTTTATTTTAAAATTTAACTTTGCTATTTCATCAAAAATGTAGCATTAGGGCAAATTATATAAAAAAAGATAATAATAAAATTAGAAGGAACATTTTACTTGGCCTTTTCATACCTATTGTTCCACTAGTGGAACATATTTTAAGACAGTGTTTCTTAACCTTTTCTTTCTTGTGGTCCATTTTTGGTATCCAAAACATTTCAGGCTCACACAGGCAATAAATAGAAGTTCCATATTAAAAGTAAATACATTTTATTTTATAGAATTTCAAAGCCCACCTATTTTTCTTAAACCAACTCCAGGTTCATTTTTAAAATTCATAAAGGTCCACGTTGAAAATCACTGTTTTAAGACATATTTTTTTTATACTAGATGTACTCATTAATTGTATTTTAACCAAGGTGATCCCGCCTTGATTTTAACACTATCTACAAGCACATTGTATTTTAGTCTTTTACATGTATATTATTGATAAAATAATCAAAATCCATCCTTGTCTGGTATAAAAAAAAATCATATATATTTCATTAGTGGAACAATGGACACTAAGGGGTTAAAAAATAAACCTTTCATATTTTTTTTTTTAACCATCAAGACATTCCCTTTTTGGTTGATCCTGATGATTTCTTCTCATGCTTTTTGATTACTCTTTCCTTTCTAGTAGCAGGTGGTAACCGCATTTCCACTGAGTCCTCACCAATTCGAGCTGTTGGAACCTCTACTGGAGGCACTCGTGGCAAAGGACGTTCACCCAAAGGATCCAACTCTACTCGCCCAACTGTCCAGTGTCCAATCTGTCAGAAGACGCTCAACAACTCCAGTGCCTTGGTAAAACACAAGTTGACGCATAGTGATGAGCGCAAGTTTGTCTGTCAGATTTGCTCTAAAGCTTTCAAGAGACAAGATCACTTGTAAGTAATTCTTTATTTTTATCTTTGGACTAAATTCAGGTGTTCTCTTCTGCATTTAATGTCATTCTCCAAGACTCATGGATCAAGTCCCTCCATGATGATTACTCTGTGAGCAAGAAATTGCATCAACCTGTAACACAATACATCTTGTTTTTTTTTTCAGTTATTTATATTCTTATGAGTAATTTTTTTAATATATTCCTTTTTTTCATCTTTGTAAAAAAAAAATTAAAAGAAAATGCTATTGTCTTTGAACGACCAATTATACACATGCATACATGTTTGTGTTTGAATGTGTATATGGGGAGTTCCTCGACTTATGACAATTCTGTTCCTATAATGTGTTGTAATGTGGTTTTCCATGTAAGTAATAATATAGGACCTAACAAGACATTTCTATGACATATGTTAACATAATTATGACTAAAAAACACATGGACAAAAATATGGTACATATAATGAAATGAATAATACATATAATGAGATTGTTTTAAGAAGCTTGTATATTTATTGCCAGTGATGTCATTGGCTCTTGGTAGATGAGAATACGAAGTGTAAAATTTTTGTTTCTCTTGCAGTAATCGGAAGTAGCAACAAAACTGGGGAAGAAAAAAAATAAACTCACTTGCTGTCTGTTTTTTTCATTTTCTTAAACAGTGAAATTAATAACAGTTGGTCTACATTGAATAGTCTTGAGAAAGATTGAACCTGTATCTCCTTTTTCATCAGAGTAAACATTTCTATAGCCGAAATGTAGATACAGATTCAAAGAAGTCTCAACACGAAATGTATATTCCTTAATTTCAAATCTTGCTCTATCAGTGCAGCCTCTGTGGCTGAATTGGTAAAGGCACATTTATAGTAATAAGAAATACTAAGGTTTATATGAGTAAACTAGATAAAAATCTGCTGGAATGGTAAATATATAATACAATTTGGAAATGTTTTACTTTTCAAGATGAATTGACATTATCAGAAATCAGGTTTCTGATAATGCTTGTTCATTGGTGAAACATGTCAAAGATATTTTTCAAATTGTGTGTGTGTGTGTGTGTGTGTGTGTGTGTGTGTGTGTGTACATTTTATGTCTCCATGTTAATTGCTGTCTGTTCATATCTGAGTATGCCTGTCTACTATGGTGGTTAGCTGATCCCTGTTGCAGATGCCGGCTCAGGCACATTTGTATTTGTTCATCACCCTCAGAGTCCACCTGTGGTTCATACTGAAACTATGCTGAGTAGCTCTTAGTTACAGTTCCTGGGAGAGAGAGAGAGAGAGAGAGCGCATTATCTTGTGTGATCAACTGTATGAACAAGGCCTGTACACTCAAACCTCCAGTCATGAGGACGTGTGACTTCATGGTAGCCCAACCATCAATGACTCCCAAATAGACCTGTCTACCCAATTTCACTCACAAGGCTTGGGTCAACCTGTGGTATTGATTTCAGGCACTTTCCAAATGTGCAACATGCTGGGATCACCTCTCCAGGCCAATAACATCAAGAAGTTACTTTCCTGACGAACCAACTGAGATTTGTGTGATTCAAATCTGGGGCTCATGGTCGGGGAGTGAACATTCTAAACACACAGCCATGTACCCACCTCCATATATTTGAAGATAATAATACAACTATCATAAGGAAGACACCTATCCAAACATGTAAAAACAACTAGAATTTAACATATTTTAAGCCCAGCAGAACTTTGCCAAAAAGTACTGAATAGATAACTAGAAGGACAATATTCAATAAATTTTTAAATGAACTTATCTCATTGAGTGACTCCAGAAATTTGTTTAATACCAGATGGTCTGATAAATGTTTTGAATCATTACCAGATATCAAATTTATACTCTACAAAATAAACACTAATTTTTTTTAATTTCCTGATAGTTTGCCCAATACAAGGCCAAAGGGCCACTCAAGTCAGAGGATTAGTAAATGAGATTGTAAGGGAGGGGGAAGTAAGAGAGTATTATGAGGATGAGTAAAATAGATATTGGTTGACCCTAGACTTAAAGAGCCCACGATTGTAGTTGTCAGGGAAGCATTCCCTCAGGAGTTTCTTACATAAAGTAACAGTTCTGAAGAAGAAGCTGTTTGATTGGGACTTGCTCCTTATCAAAGGAACACGAAAGGAATGGAGATGGTTTGTCACCGTAAACACAGCATGGTAGCTCCAAGCTAATAACACTAAGGAATATAAATCATCTGCCATAGTAATAGTGATATACTAGTGAAAGGCTCGCTGTGTTTAGTCTGTGCGATAAGGATTGCAGGGTGGAGAATAATTCATGTCCCACAAGGCTGTGTAAGTGCTTTTTAACTCTGTGAAGCTAGTTTGCGAGGATTGGGCAGCACCAACCGAGATATGGCAGCAATAGTCCATTCTTAGTCTGATTTGAATCTTATAAAGATAGAATGGAAGTTAGGTATTTTTTGGAATGATACTATATCAAAGTTTGTTAAAAACCTGACAACGTATTTAGAAACAATCTAAATGTAACTTATTATTATTTCCGAATGGCATCTAGAACGATACTCTGATCTCGTCATAGCTGCCTCTTCAAAGTTCTTGAATGGAGTGTTGACACAAGAAAGGTTGCTCTTCAGTTTATCTTTATACCTGAGTCAAGGTCAACCAACATTTCTATGACCACTATGGAGTTGACTGTAGAAAAGAACTTTTGGTATGTAATCATCCCTCATTCTTGCCACATGGCCAGCCCAACGTAGTTGTGATTGCATTATGAAGATCTCGATGGTACCAATCTTGCATTTCTCAAAAAGGTCGGCATTTGACACTTGATCATCAAACGTTAGGCCACAGATTGTATAGAAACAGCCTTTATGGAAGACATCTAATCGATTAGTGTGCCATCAAAAAGGTGTTCAAGTTTCAGAGCCATACAAAAGAGTTGACAAAATGACAGCTCTGTGCATTTGGATTTTAGTGCAAAGCATTATTCCCCTTTCGTCCCACAACCTATACGCAGTGAACCAAAGGAAGTGCTGGCTTTTGCAATGTGGTTAACAATCTCATCATCAATTATATTATAAAAGTCTGTACATACATATTGTATAAATATGTGTATATACATACATCATATGCATGTATTTGCATAGACATGTATGAATTTATATAGAGGGTGTGTGGGCTAAATTTGACAGTTTAATTTTATTATTTTTTTGAATTGATTTAGAATATCTGTAAACAATGAAAGACATTGGGAAACATAATCACTATAGCTTTAGAGGTGTTAAAGTTAACTTACATGGATGAGTGGAAGCCACCTGAATAAACCAATGTTTTGTCTATATATATATATATATATATATATATATATGTGTGTGTGTGTGTGTGTGTTGCATCCACTTTGACCGAATGGAAAGTAAAGGACTGGAGGAGGGCTTTGGAGATCAATTTGCAAAAAATGAAAATAGTGTCTATCTGGATGCTAGTCTATTTTAACAGTCATGTTTAGGACAGTGGAAAGTTCTGGTCTGCTATTGCTGAGAGAAGGACATGTCCATCACATAGTTCCTGTGCCGTTCATTCATATTGCCAAGCCATCATGATGGAAGGAGTAGATGGGTAAGGAGTTGGTAGGGGGAAGAGCTGAGCTGTTAGATCAATACATCAGAAGTTATTCCAAGTATCCCCTATCTACCCACCTGCTTTCATCGTGTTACCTTGTGAGCATGCAGCAGACCCTTTCCCAGCTTTTGGTGTGCACCAATGAGATCAAGTATTGAAATGCAATGGTGTTTCATCATTGGTCGGGTGATAGAAATCTTGTGTGAGGGTCATGTATGTTTACAGTAGTAATCATCAGGTTTTTTTATCCTCATTTAACTCAACCTTTCACTCCTGTTAGTGACATTATCATTTGCTTTTGTGTTAACTATAGAAAAATTGTAGGGAAAAAAAAACTGAAATAAATCGTAAAACAATAGATATATTTGAATTTCTGTAAAATGGTTATGTTTCTTATTTTTTAATAAAAGAAATCTAAATAATGCATTTGTAAATAGTGGATCTTCTTTTTCCATTTTTATAATATTTTTGATATAAATAATAAACATTGTCTTTATATTAAATAAAATGTTTGTATAAGGTTTTCACCAGTTCACATTGAGAATGTCTTATGAAATTAATTTTGATTATATTTTCTGCATAAGTAACCTTGAATTTTTGTCTATAGAATTGACTCTGTTGTCACATGTTATTCAACATTGTAAAAGAATTCTTGATTTTCAAATTATCAAATATAAAAATTCAAAGAAAGTAAAGTTCTTATTAATGGAATTATGTATGTGTGAGTGGAGAGATATAAACTTAAATGTTGGTTATTATTATGCACCGAGGAAAATCTGATGATGTAAGAACCTCTCCCATTACATCATGGCCAGATTTAGATGAAGAGAGTCCCTCTTTGCAAATAAGAAATAAATACAGAACAAAAATAAAACTACTTTATAACAGAAGTTCAAATATAATTTTTTACTGGATGTAAAAGACATAAAAATAAAAATTGTATAATGTAAGATTTTTTTTCATATATATAGTTTTGCAAATACAAAATAACTACAAAAAATAAAATGACTTTAAAAAAGAAGTTGAGGATTTCTTTAAAAGAGATACTAAATATACAGTAGAAGAAATAACAATAAAAATAAAAATTCTGTAAGACTTTTTATATAAAGTGTAAATTCAACTGGAGTTGGAGTCTGTATAGTTTTACCAACTCGACTTCGAATTCAGTGACCCTTAATTGCTTCCATCTTCGACTCTGACTCCACAACTCTGACTTAGGAACTGCCCTGCATATATAATTCCATCAATAAAAACCTTACTTTATTCTGATGAAATCTTTTTAGGGAATGAAATGCATTACATAGAATTTTTTCCACTTTGTCATTCAGCTACCTAATATTGTTCTGATTTATAGAAATTTATAGCTCATATTCTCCCATATTATCAACATAGAAAAACAACAACTAGTATATAGTTTTATGTATGATGTATATTTATTACAAACCTTTGTTATGCTCTCAACCTTCTGCATTTATATTTCCTCTTTATCTTGTTCGTTATCAGAAATGGACATTTAGTTACACACCGTGCTAAGAAACCCTATGTATGCAGTGTGGAAGGGTGTGATAAAAGTTACTGTGATAACCGCTCCCTTCGACGACATTTAGAGAATCACCACAACAAGTCAAGTGAAGTCAGCGGTGCTGGAGGAAACAGTGTCACTGGTACTAGTGTTGTCTCTGCGGTGACAAATATTAACATTATTCCGAATTCAACATCGGTAGCTGCCCCGGTCCTAGTCCCAGCAACAACTTCAGTTCCACCTCCAGCTCAAACTGTAGTTCCTGTTCCAGCTCCAGCACCAACAACGGTTTCCATTCCAGCCCCAGCCCCCATTCAAACTGGAATTCATATCACTCAGCTGAGTCGTGGTCAGCCAATGGATTACCAAGAAACTGGTGCTGTGGACAATAATAGTCTCTTTGTCGATGCTGGCTCCAACAACAACAACAACAGCAGCAACAGCAATAGTAACAACAATAACAACAACAACAACAACAACAGCAGTAATGGAACCAGCCGGATACATTATGCCCCACCACCTTACAATTCGACGGTGAACACTGAAGAAAATCCACAGTTTGCCAACACGCAGCCCAAATACTTTCATTTTGATACAGTGCAGCAAGTGCAACAGCAGCAGCAACAACAACAGCAGCAGCAGCAACAACAACAACGGCAACTACAACAACAATCGCAGCAGCAGCAGCAGCAGCAGGTACTGCAGCCTGCATCATTTGATACAGCTAATTGGCCGCAGGATCATATTTATAAGGTTTATGATGTAAAGAATGTTTTGTTATTTTTTATTTTATTTTATTTTATTTTTTATTTTATTTTATTTTATTTTTTATTTTATTTTATTTTATTATTTTATTTTATTTTTTGGGGGGTTGTTGCTTTTTTTGTGTTGATTTTTTGGTGCTGTATTTTTTTTTTTTTGGCTGCTGTTTATTTAATTTTTTTTTTACCTAATGTCATATTGCTAATACTGTTTATTTGAAATTTTTGGGAACACTAACAGTCTTTGTGAATTTTGAAAATATATCGAAAAAAAGCATTCTTATGGTATTATTTACCATTTTATAAAGAAACAAATTTGAAAACAAATCTTTTTATTCAAAAATTTATAAAAAATAATAGTAGATACGTTTGCCTATTGTCTGGGTCACACTCCTCCCCAGTCTTTTGAACAGGAGTAGTGGTTTATCCCTCATTTCCTGTTCAGGATTGGGTTTATGGTTCCTTCTAAAGTCTACTCTCACACTATAGTTGTCATTGGCACCCACTCACATCAGGGTCATCATCCTCTCTCCTTATTTCCTTTATTCCCTTTGGTGGCAGTGGTGGAGATGGTTGTGAAGGCCTAGCCTAGTTCTGAGGAGTCATGTGCAGGAGTCATAGCGGAGTGTGGGTGGTGGATGTGGTTGGGCAAGTTGGGGCTTCCTGACAGCATGTTGCAAATCTTCTTCATGTTGATGGTTGGACTTGAAAGTCTCAATCCCCACCTCAGATGCTCCTATGCCAGGAAGGCTGATTTGCAGCAGTGGTTTTCCGGGTCTCAGGGTCAATGTTGACCTGTGTCAGGGATGTCTTTAACTGATCCTTGAAGTGTTGTTCTGGGCTTCCACATAGCCTCTTGCCACTAGTGGTTTCTCCAAAGAGGATGATATGTGAGAGTCGAGTGGGATGTATTCTGGACATGTAATCCACACTCACTATACTTCGAATTTTGCTGACTGAACACTGAAATGTTATTCACTAACTAAATCTTAACCTCTTCAAGTCTAGAAGTAGTCGTTAATCTTTCCTACATAGCTTGAAGAACATCACTTCTTGCCTTTTCTTATGCTCATAAAAAACCACACAGTAACCCTCTACATTGAGTGGCTCTTAGGTCTTGTATTGGGTGAACATTAGTGAAAACAATAGGAGCAGAAAAACTGCTTGGAAAGTTAATTTTATGCTCTTCTATGCAACATTAATGGATTCAAATGGAAATTTTTTTTTGTTGTAGCAATTCTTTTCTCTTTGAGCTCGTATTAAAATTTTTCAGTGTGCTTTTTTATATTTGTTTTGCATGGTCTTAAAGAGGCCGCTTTTACTGTTAGAAAATTTGAATAAGTCATCTTGAGAGTATATTTGGTTTTTGTTTTGTCTTTTTTTTTTTTTTAGCTAATACCATTTAACAATTAGCTTTCAAGAAAGTATTGGTCAATATTTTTTTCTGAAATTTTTTATTGCCACAAATATTTGATAATAGATCCAAAATGTGCTAATTTGTTGTGATAAAAAGAAAAATGACACTGTAGAGTCAGCCACTTGGACTCACTATGAAAGGTATAAAATCCTCATTTTGTTTTTCTCCAAAATATCTAGCTAATTATAGGGCGCACTTATAGCAACTTAGCATATGCAAAATATGGTAACTTTTAGCCCACCAACAACTTCTGTTTGCAGAGAGATGGTTGGTAGGACTTAATATATACTGACTCCACAACCTTCAAGTGATAATCAGTATTAGCCTTACTATATTTGTTTTTCCATGATCTTAAAGAGGTTGTTTTACTGTCAAAAACTTTGAATAAGTTGCCTCAGGAATATGTCTTTCTCTTTTAGCTAATACCATTTAACAATTAGCTTTCAAGAAAGTATTGGTGAATATTTTTTTCTGAATTTATTTCGTATTGCAGCAAGGTAGATGTCAGGTTTACTGTGCGATTTTTTTTTTTTACAGAGTAAAATGATTGTTGCAATCAAGTAAGGGAAATTGACAAACTTCTAATTAAATGTGTATTATGAAGAGAAAAGTCATTTTTGTGGTTTCTTGAAAGTAGACGTTTTCGAAAGTCTGAGTAGTAAAGCTCTCTATATTAAAGGGCTTACGGCCATATCATGTTGAAACATTGGTTCTTGTATGATCACCAAAGTTAAGCAACGTCAAGCTTAATCAGTACCTAGATAAGTGACCACTTGGAAATACTAGATGCATAAGCATGGATGTGCAGGTGGACTAATGGATAATGGCTTGGAATTGAAAATCAAAGAGCTGAGTTCCAATTTCAGTTGGGTTTGTTATATTCACTTACACACAAATACCCCTGGTAAATTTATGAATCAACCACTTCTTCCCCCAGGTATGGGTTAGTTAGTAAGTCTTGTATCAGTAAAATCATTATTATCTCCAAAAAATTCTTGCAATTAAAAAATATTTTCTGGCTGCAAAAGGTTGATAAGCCATAAAAAACAGTCAATCTATATAAAAAGGTTTCTTTTAATCAAGTTTTGACTAGTACTTCTCTTTATCTTAATGTTTTTAGTGTTTTATCATAACTTTATTCAGGGGTACATCAAATATGTAAATATCTTCATTTATTTATTTATTCATTTATTTTTTTCTGAGATAATTAATCCATAGCTGGGAGGAGAAGAGGTGGATTCATAGCTTTCCTCAGGATATTTGCATGTAAGTGAATGCAACGAGCCCAACTGGAATTGAAACACTGCTCTCTGATTAACAATTCTCAGCCATTATCCATTACACTACCCACACATCCAAGTGGCTGCCAATCTACGTACTGACCAGGCTTGACATTGCTTAACTTCAGCAATCAGGTGAGAACTGGCATTTCAATGGGAAAACTTCAAATTTCCTCTGCTTTATTTTTGTTTTTCAGAGCTATTCAGTAAAAGAATGCATTCATGTTGTTTTTTTTTATTTTTCTTATCAGAATAATCAATTTGTTAGCCAGAATGTGGTCAGTCAGGCACCTGGCCAAAGCAGTCCAAGGACAGAGTCTGATCATTCTCCTGGTTATTTACAACAGATCAGTCCAATCAGCCCAGCCCCATTACCTAACCAGTCTGCAACAACTCTACAGTTATCAACCCAACAACCTAACACTTGGTGCAAAGCAACAAAGCCTGGACCTGAAGCAAAACCTGTGAATGGGTGAGCAGAGGTTTTTTTCTTGACTTTTTCCCCCAGTGAATGACAACACATACTACAAGTTATACTTTTAATGTATGTCCATTCACCAGTCTGTTTTAATTGTAAAAAAAAAACAATATTAAAAGGTTGTTACATATTTTTTTTTTTTTAATGTTAAACCTAGGATCCAGAACAAAGGATAAGATTTGCTCAAACCAGAACAATTAATACGAATTTTTATATGCAGTATGTACAGCCAGCCTATTATCCATATCTGCCTGTATTTCTGAGATGTGGTAGTTTAACTATTATTTTTTAATTGATATTACCCTATGCAAGACAGTAAAGCCACTAAGACACAAGGGGTGTGGAAGAATTAGGAACAGAAACATTAATAATGAGTGGGAAGAGGAAAAAGTAATCACGCAGACAGTAGATAGCGATTGACATTGCATTTAAATTTTTGCAGATTAAAGCTGGCTGGAAAGCATGGAACCAGAAGGGAATTCCACAAGTGAGAAGTGTTAGAAAAGAAATTGTTAGCATAGAATTTACATCTACATCTAGCCAGCTCAACTGTAAATTGATAAGGTCTCAATGCCAGTCTAATACTGCGCTTAAATTCAAAGTCTAGGTACCATAGTGAAGAGTTCATCCAAACAATTAATATGAAAGTAGTTATAGAAATATTGTTCTCATCTTTATTGCCATATTCACAATGTTTCAGCTGTTGTATACTCCAACCTTCTTCAGGTGATATATGTTAGAATTTACTGGGGTAAAAGCATTGGTTGAGTAATCCAAAAAGTGACTTGACCTAAAAAGTTGTGAGTTCAATACTTAGCCACATCAGAAGGAACAAAAACTTGGAGAGTTGAGTTACTAAAGGGAATTAACTGATACTGCAATATACAAAAAAAGGACATTATATGGAATTAGAACAATCTACCCCCATGGACTAAATAAAGGGTTTGGTTTGAAATTCAAATGTATATCACCTGAAGGAAGTCGGAGCATACAACGGCTGAAATGTTGTGAATATGGCAATAAAGATGAGGACAACAATCCGATTGATGTAAATAGTGTAAATATCCTTTTCTTTGTTGTTACTATTACAATGTTTCAACATTATGCTCTCTGGTTTTCATCAGATATTGGTTGATCTGAGTAACCAACAGAGAATTTTGAACTGAACCCTTTATTCAATCTATAGGGTTAGAACAAATAAGAACAAATCAAGATATCTCAAGACATTGTTCTGGTTCTGCTGTTGGTCTACTTTTTAAGGGTTACCAGACACCTGATAAAGGCTGGAGGGCACAATGGCTGAAACATTGTGATAATAACAATGATTAGGACAATAGTCCAAATGTAAATAATATCTCTTAAAAATTTGCAAAAATGTAGAGATTGTAACTAAACTGAATGTTTGGCTTGCCTTTTCTTTTCTTTTTTTTATGCAATTTTTTGTGCTTTGTATAATATTTTTACTGAATAGATTCCCTATTGAATATTTTTTGTAATTTTTTTGCTTTTTTTCTATTCAACTCTTTTATTCCTTGAGAAATCACAAGTCCTTCAAATTCTTTTTCATTGTGTCTGAAAATGTTACAGTGTCCTTTCATTAAGGACTGTAAAGATTAAACATTATTAAGCTCTGGAGAAAATCTCTTTTATTGCCTACATTAGAAGTGGGTGAAATGTTGTTAACCTGACTCACTTTCCAAAATCTGACTAAATGACCAAACATCAGATTCTTTTGGGAAGAGCTTCTTGGTTTGGCTGAGAACTTTTGTAAAAATATAATTTTTATGAATACAATAGTAGCAAATATAATGAAAAAAAAAATTAAATAATTTGAATTTGTGTTTTTATTATTATATTACTCATTTCATATGCAATTTTTGCGTAAACATTTTTTATTTCTTTTAATTTTTACTCCCCTTGTTTTGTAGCGATGATTCAAAGCCAATCAAATGCAACACTTGTGACAAACGGTTTAAGAATATCCCTGCATTGAATGGGCACATGAGACTTCATGGTGGATATTTCAAAAAGGTTAAGGTAAATTTGTATTAATTTTGTATCAAATGTGTTTTTTGTTTCTGCTTAGTACAATGCATCATCTTTGATGTTTTAGCCTTGTCTACTGGACATATTTGTTTATAAACAAATTTCAATGATGATCCAATCAGGCATGTAGAGAGAGAAAATCAGCCCCTGTGCAGTGAAGTGAAAATACTGTACAAGGAAAAACACTGCTGGGCTATGAGGACCACATTAGTAGGCCTAGCATAGAAATAAATATGATATGGGAGCTGCTAATAAAGAAAGAAAGACAAATGACAACAGATCTTCAACAGCAGCAGCAGTAAAAAAAAAGAGAACGCTTCATTGAGGCCAGTCAAGCATGATAAAGAAATTAAATGAAATTGACTAGACTATATACCCAGACACATATATATATATAATTAATTTCAGAGTTTATAATTTCAATGTCCTCAATTACATCAATGGAAACATTACTTTTGTTGGAAGTCCTAAAGGAGGAAATGTATTACACAAAATAATTTTTTTTCATTGTGTCATTACTTTTCCTAATGTGTATGTATCTATCCACCCTCCCCCTCTCTCCCTATATATATATATATATATATATATATATTAGTCTTGGGTATGATGCCTCTGATTGGGATATTCAAGGTTTTGAGGAGTGTGGAACCACCTCTTAATTGCTGTCATTCCCAGGTCCACCCTGACTGGGTTAGTAGCACCTGTTAGGGTCCCAGCTGTGGAGAAATATTGAACCCTCAAAGAAAAAGAAAACACTATGAAAGTAAAAAAAAAATACATTTTTTATAGTAGATTTACCAACAATACATTGTATCTGTTGTTGAAAGCATAAAAGTTTGTTCAAAATCTTTACATTTTGGCATTAAATAACCTATAGAGGTTGACATGTCACAAAACAAAATCAAACAACCAACATGGAAGAACTCTATATATTAATCCATATAATATCCTATAATTTCTTAAAGAACTCAAATTGTTTTCCAAAATTATTGCCTCTAGTAATTGTGTCCACACAAACATGTATATTTACAAAAACTGTGTATCATCTACCATATTTGTCTATATTTCTGAGATGAGATATTATAATTATTTATAATATTTACATTGTTCAGACTGTTGTTCTCATCTTTGTTGCCATATTCATGATGTTTTGTCTATTGTATGCTCCTACCTTCTTCAGGTAATTGGAATTTAGAACTGAACCCTTTATTTGGTCCACTGTGGTAGATTGTTCTAGCTCCATGTGCCATGCCTCTTCCAGATGTCTCAGTTAGCTCCCTTTAACTCAACTCCACTGCAGTAGCCAGGTACTGAACTCACAAAAATCAAGTGTAGCTGACCACATCTGGAGGGAAAAGGGAGATCACTGCCCCTTGTGGGATGAGGTTGAAGTAATAGACAGAGAACATCACTGGAAAATACAAAAACTTAAGGAATCAGCACATATGCTAGGCCACAAAAATCTCCTAAGCTGGCCAAGCATAGAAATGAATACAGTATCGGAACCAGTAATATGGGGTGCTAGAGAAAAGCAATAACAACAACAAAAATTGCAATATGAGCTCTGGTAAAAAAATTGATAACTGAGACATTATGATTATAAGTCCCCAAAATTCATACACTGATGTCCTCAAGGACACATGGCTCAGTGGATAAAAGTGTTGGTTGGATCCAGTGACTTGACCCAAAAGAGTTGTGAGTTCAATAACTGGTTACTGTAAACTTGGAGATTTTGGGTTAAAGGAAGATAACTAAGACATCCGAAAGTTTCCAAAGTCTAAGTTATTAAATATCTGGGGAATAGTAACCTGAAAACACCTAACATATGAAGGTGAAATGTGTTGTCATTGAAAAGCTTTGTCACTTTGTCTCATTTCTCCACTTTTGTTTAGATTCTATATATAACATGCACATATATATTGTCATAGAAGCCCTTTACATAAAACATCTGGCACCCAGTATTAACCTCCCTTATTTAACAGGGGAAATAATGTGTTAAAAGCTTTTTTTTAAAATAGAAAGACTCCAACCCGAATTCCAGCCATGTTTCCTATCATGGGGCTCAGAATAAACACTACTACTATATAGGCAACATGCACTACATCTCAAATAGACAACCATGAAAGGAAATTAAAAACACTCAACCACCCCTTGAAAATGGCTAAAGCAGTGACTGAATGTGCTTGGGACAACAGACACTATGAACAATTTTTACACTCCTTTTCCCCACCAAATGGAAAAATGTAAGAATATTAGAAGAACTAAATAAAAAAATTAATAAAAATAAGGTTGCTGCCCAAATATACATGATTGCTGAGAGGATCCTATTGAAAATAAGTAGACAAAACTTGTTTAAATTATTCAATGAGACATGTCTTATATATATATATATATATATATATATATATATATATATATATATATATATATATATAGTGTGTGTATGTGTCTGGGCCTATTTCTCACCAGTACTAGTCTTTGGTATTTAATCCTAGATAAAAGCTAGAATTTATAATGTAGATTTTCAAGGGATGTAAACTCTGCACTGAGGGGATTAGTGCAGCATAATAAGATTTCATAATCTTTCTCGTAGGTCCACAACTGAATTAAGCCAAACTTAGTGAAAAACAATATTCTATACCTATTTAAATGTATGCATGTGATACCCGATACATGTAAATTATTTCTGTGCAGCTACATTGACATGAATCAACAGTGAGATAATTGAAGAGAAGCATTATGTCTGTAGACTCTTGTGCCAGACAAAGTTAAGTAAATACCTATGAATAAATCTTCTTTTTATATATATATAACATTTCTCAGAGTTAACCTATAGAAAAAGACAATATTTATAAATGTAAAAGACAATAGGACAACAATAAATGTAAAAGACAATAGGGCAACTATTACAGTTTTCCTATTGTCTTTTACATTTATTTATATATAAATATATATATATATATATAAATAAATATAAAAGTGAACATAGAAGTCAACACTTAGAGGTGACAGTCTGTTTCATGCTGGATGCAATCGTCAATGGCTTGACGATTACATCCAGCATGAAACAGACTGTCACCTCTAATGTTGACTTCTATGTTCACTTTTATATTTACACACGCTCTATCTCTGATATTGAGCACTTTATCCCATAAATATAGCACATCTTAAGACTATATTTCTTCATATATATATATATATATATATATATATATATATATATATATATATATGATGGACTCTCCCATCGATTTCCATGTACGAGGATATGACAACCTCATCCAGTTTTTATCTTTGTGCTGTATGTGACCCTACAGTCTCGCTATTGATCTGCATACGAGTCCACATATTGTGTAACAGTGAGGATCATGGGACATAGCCACAGGAATGTTTGTTGATGCTTTTTGCCATTGTCTTTTGTCTCTTAGCCAGTCAATATGACAAATATCTCCAGTTATTTCTATCCAGTGTAATTAGCACGAAGTTAGTATGAGGCACATTGAGAGCTGAGAGGTTACTCTTTAGCTTGTCTTTACACCTGAGTCACAGCCATCCAAAAGTCCTTTGTCCACTGTCAAGTTGACTATACATGAAGACCTTAGGTATTCTGTTATCATTCATCCTTGCAATATGACCAGTCCAACAAAGTTTTGACAGCATCAGAAAAGTCTCAATTCCATCAATGTTGCATTTTGCAAGAAGATCAGTATTGGGCACCCTATTGTCAAAATTATATCTACAGATTACATGGAGACAACTTTTGTGTAAGACGTCCAACTGTTTGATATGAGACCTATATGTGGACCATGATTCTGAGCTGTACAACAGTGTGGTCAAAACGGCTGATTATATATATATATATATATATTCTTTTTTTCTTTTCTATTGCTTCATGTGTAATGCTTTTTTCTTTTTTTACCTCAGGACTTGAACATTAAAGACATAAATGTGAAAGACATGAAAAATGTCGTTCTGAAAGAAGGAACAAATCAAACTCTGACATTGACACCTGACCAACAAGTGCAGCAATTTTTACAGCAGCAAATACAGAAACAATTGCAACAGCAGCAACAGCAACAGCAGCAGCAGCAACAGCAACAACAACAGCAGCAACAGCAGCAGCAACAACAGCAACAGACTGTTGCTGGTATCCAGGCATTAGCTGAGTCTTTCCAGAAAGCTGTCGATCAGTCAAGACAGGCAGCAGAGCAAACGTCTGTTACTGCCCAGCCAATTGTTTTCCAAACACATATCCCATCCCAAATATGCCAGGTAAGGAAATTGTCTTTTTTTCTCCTCCTATAAATGTCTATTATGTGGATGTGCTGTTGACCTTATGATAAACAGCCTGGAAAATGGAGCCAGCTTTACCAAGTTCAAATTCTAATTGAGCCAGTTTATGTCCACTTTACACCAATGCCCTTGGTAAAGGCAGGAATTCATCTAACTCTAGCTGTGAACCAATTTAGGTGAAAGACAATTCTGATTTCAAAGCCAGGAGTTGAATTCACTCCATTCTTTCCAGTTCCTGAGAGCTCTTCTTCCTAAAACAAAAGAAAAAAAAAGGAAAGTGTTCTACTTGCTGAAATACAATTGGTGTGCCTTCTTAAGCCCTGATCAGATCCAGGATCTGTTAGGTCTCCTTTTTTTTATTTATGACTCATTTGTCCTTTACAAAGAAGTAGTGTTAATGTGAAAAATGTTCTTGATAGTATTATTTATATATATCTAAACTGTTGTATCTACTTTTATGGCAATGCTATTAGGAAAGGCATCTCTTTTCCTCCTCCAGCTTTGAATAAATAGACTAAGTAAAGGAAGATTTAATTGTAAACCATGGAGAAGGCAATAGCAAACCACTCCACTATCTTTCCTAAGAATGTGTAATAATTCACAGATAACAAAGAAACAATTGTGGAAAATCATAATCGTCTATGTCCTGAAGGGACATGGCATTTTTAAGAAAATGCTCACATAGGGGTCAGAATTGATTGTTGTATTGTTGGGCATACATTCTAACAGTATGACTTCCTTCTGGTCTCAGAACACAATTACTCTTCTGATTTAATGAAGGCTGATATACCTTTAAATGCAACAATCAAATCAAATCATTGACTCTCCTTTTTTTAAGTGTACTGCTTTTAAACCTTACGTTTTTTTATCTCTGGCTTATTGTTGTGAACTGAAGTCTCATCTCCAGTGACTCTCTTGCTGAGAAAGGTATGAGCTGTGTTGCGCCGTTTGAGAAGATGTTGGGTTTCAATCACTCTCTGCTCCTTCATGGATTCTGTCAGCATTCTGGGAATCTTCTTTGAATAGTCAAGAGTGTACACTAAACTACAGGCACTACTGTGATACACAGATTTTTTCAATAGTTATTTTTTGTCAGTTGTAATAAGAGCATCAACCTGTTTAACCTTACCTTCATTCACAGCAACTGATAGCTTACCAATAATGTTATTTTTCTCCTTCCTCTCTAGGTTTGTCAGGAACTCTACTGACACATCTCCTTACCGTGCTTACATCAAGTGCAGCCTTTTCAGAAACATTCATTAAACTCCTGTGAATGTTTGTAGTGCTTTTTCTTTCCAAAAATAGAAATTCTATGACATCTCTTTGCTTTCTATGTATGGCCAGAGAAGCAGCCATTTTGAAAAGGATTATGGGTAGGAAAAGAGAATGCAACTACAACCCCCCCCTCTGGCATTTTATTGATTTTTAGCTAAAATCTCTAGAAATTCTAATTAATAATTTTAAAATTAAATTAGAATGGACATTACTTTTGACTGACTCTCGTATTTTGATTATTGATATTAATATTCTTATTGGGATTTTGTCAGAGTCGGAAGGAAATTGATGCAATAAAGTTTGTCTTGTTTGTGTTCAAGTTTTCACCTTTGCCACTGGAGCCAGTGAATCTGTACATTCACTTTATGATTTTCTTTTTTAGACTGAAGGGATTGGTCAGCATCAACTTCTGCAGACACAACAACTTTTTCAACAACCACAGGCTGATCAACAACAGCAATTGCAGCAGCAGCAGTTACAACAGCAACAATTGCAGCAGCAGCAACAACAACAAAAACAATTAGCCCAGCAACAGCAGCAACAACAACAAAAACAATTAGCTCAGCAGCAAAAACAGTTAGCCCAGCAGCAACAGCAACAAAAACAATTAGCCCAGCAGCAGCAGCAACAACAGCAGCAGCAGCAGCAGCAGTTGGCCCAACAAATACAACAGCATTTGACTCAAATAACCCAGCAGCAATTACAACTAGCACAACAACAACAGCAACAACAACAGCAGCAGCAGCAGCAACAACAGCAGCAGCAGCAGCAACAACAGCAGCAGCAGCAGCAACAACAACAACAGCAACACCAACCACAGCAGCAACACCACCAACAACAACAACAAATCCAAATTCAGGTATTATTATTTTTTTGATTCTGTTTTTTTTTTTTGGAAGCAAGATTTGAAAATGTTTTAAAAAAATTTTTTTTTCTAGAGAACGTTTTATATTGAATCAGATAGTTACATATTTTCCCATGGTGCCAGTACTCATTGCTTTGAGGTCAGGTAAAATGCCAAAATTTAAAATACTTATCTTCAATACAGATAGACTGCTGCTTGGAATAAATACACCTATTTCTTTTGGGATAGTCTTCTCTGATACAAAGTTTGGCAAATGTCAAATGATTTTCTGCCTAGTCATGCAACCTTTCAAAATTTTCAACAAATCACAATATGCTGACTTTAAATATACTTGAATACTATACTTTTTAACATAAGCTTTCATGTTTTAAAACTGTGATTCCCAAAGTGGGCAGTTACCAATCCCTGGGGCTGGAGGAAAGGTTGGTAAAGTGGTGAAAAAAAAAAAAAAGGAGGCAGTTGTGTTAGGGTGGCCCTAGTAATAAAGTTTTCTATTTTATACAAAATCTATATCACAAGTTCTAACTCACTTTCACTTAGGGAGCATGTATGCTTTACAAGGGATAAAATTAATATAAGAACCATAGACAAGCACATTGTTTTATTCTATGTTTGGAGTTGAAAATCTGAATGTTTGCTGATGTCATCTGAACAGGATGCCTTACACCAACCAAATCAGACCGTGTCCTCAGGGTCTAAAACTATTGGTTTGTAGGTATAGAGATATAGCCATGGATGTTCATCTGGCAACCTCTTATCTCTTAGCACTAAGCCACACACCCCCATATTCTGGTTCTCTGGTGTAATGGTTAGGACTTTGAATCCAGCATGTCTCTGCAACTTACCACAGAAATATATATAATAATGAACTCTCCCGTCGGTTTTGACATATGAGGATATGACAGCTTAGTTGATTCAGTTATGAAATTTTGTGTGATAATCTTAAGTGGCATTTAAGACCCGCTAGTGATTTACAAAGGAGGCCACATATGAAGCAAGAGTGAGGATTGTGAGACGAGATCTGTTAGATTGGCTGACCTTTTAGATCTTGCTCTCGCTTCTTGAAGCCGATTTAGACAAGCAGACCAAAAACTGCTGAGTCCACTAGAAAATGTTGATCTCCATTCTACCCACTCCAAGGCTAAGTGCTCAAGGGTGTTATGTGGTATATTGACTGCTGACAAGTTACTTTTCAGCTTGTCTTTGTATCTTAGCCATGGACGTCCTACATTCCTGTAGCCCTGGTCTAACTGGCTGTACGTTAGAATCTTGGGTATCCTGTCGTCAGACATTCTCAAGACATGACCAGTTCACCGTAACAGACTGTATGAGAAAAGTCTCGATTCCTCCAATATTACACCTGTTAAACAGGTCTATGTTAGATGTCCTATCTTAAAGGTTAACTCCACAGATTGCATACAGACAGCTTTTATGGAAAACATCCAGCTGGCGTATATGGTACCTGTATGGAGTCCACAACTCTGAGCCGTACAAAAGGATGGCAAGTACAACAGTTCTGTAAACCCAAATTTTCGTATCCAGTTAAATACCCCGCTTATTCCACAAGCAATGGTGAAGTTTGCCGAAAGCACTGGTAGCCTTAGCAATCCCATGTATGATTTCATCATCTAAAGTTCCACTGTAGTTGACTTTGCTACCAAGATAGGTGAAAGACTTTACATAGTTCAGGGCTTTGTCTTCTAGTTTCAATGGTCTCTCTGGAAATTTGTAGACTTGTTTTGGAGTAGGACAAGATTGGTGGACTACTTCAGTTTTCTTTATGCTAAGTGTAAGACCAAATGCTTTACATGCAGCAGAGAAACAATTTATTAGATGTTGGGCCTCCTCAAAGGATGTCGATACAAGAGCAGCATCATCAACAAACAACAAATCACGAATAATTTGCGTATGAAAGTGGGTCTTGGCTTTGAAGTGCTGATGATTGAAGACAACACCAGTCGTTCGAAACTGAAACTTGATGCCACTCTCTGTGTCTGCAAATGCATATTTCAGCATCACCGAGAAGAAAAGGGCAAAAAGGACAGGAGCCATGACAACATTGCTTGGTGCCATTTGTGACATCAAAGGATTCTGACATCATACCATCAGATACGATATTAGCTTTCATTCCTTCATGAAAAGAGATGATGACCTTTAGTATGTTTTCAGGCATGCCGAGTTTCCTCAAGACTTGTCAAAAGAGCCTCTTGATACACAGCATCAAAGGCCTTTGTCAAGTCCACAAACACCATGTACAACTCCTGTTTTTTCTCACGAATCTTCTTTGCAACTTGACGAAGAGAAAATATCATGTCAATGATGCCACAACCCAACCGAAAACCACACTGCGATTCAGGATAGATGTCGTCAACAAGGTGTATAATGATTCTGTTTAGAATCAGTCTAGCTAGGATTTTGCCTGCAGTTGAAAGTAGTGATATCCCCCAATGATTATCACAGACATACCTGGAACCCTTGTTTTTGTAGAGGTGTTTGATAGAGGCGTCTTTATAATCCTGTGGGACACAGCCTGCCTTCCATATCTCCACACAAAGTAGATGTAACTTTTTTACCAACTTTTGGCCACCATGCTTATACACTTCGGGTGGAATAGGATCCTTAGGAGTAGGTGATTTTCCAGATGAGATTTGCTTGATGGAGTCAATTACCTCTTGATAGGTAGGTTCAAAAGACAACTCTGGAATTTCATGATTTTGCTCAATTGATGTGATGGCTTCCTCATCAGTAACCAAAGTGGTATTTAACACAGTTTTGAAATGCTCTTTTCAGCGATCTAAAATGCCTGACTTATCCGTCAAGAGATTTTCACCATCTGCTGTGGAGATTGGAGCAACACCACTTTTCTGAGGACCAAAAATGCTCTTGAGGCCAGCATAGAAAGCCATAGATCCTTTCTATCTGAAGCCTCTTGGAGTTCAGTGGCCTTTTCAGACCACCAACGCTCTTTCATGGCTCTGAGAGCTCATTGAACTTGACTTTTGCACTTCTTGTAAGTGATATTCTTATCGGACGAGTTCTTGTCCTCAATCCATGCTTTATGAGAAGAGTGCAATTGATCTATAAGCTGCTGAACTTCTGTATTATTGTCATCAAACCAGTCTTGATGTTTACGATGTGGCAGGCCGAGAACCTCCAAGAATGTAGAATATGTTGCATCACGCAGAGACTTCCAAGATGATTCGATATCATTGGTAATGTTTATAGAATCAAGTGCAGCATTAAGTTTGTCAGAGAGCTCAATTTTCGTTTCAGTCGATTTAAGAGGCAGCACGTTAATGTGCTTGGGCACTGTAGATTTTATAATCCTTCACTTTTGCAGATACAGTGTAGCTTTACTTTGAAGTAGAACGTGATCTGACAGATAACATGTTGTGTGGAATGAATATTAAAATCTTTCATGTCCAGTCTTTTGGTGACGACGTAGTCGATCAGATGCCAGTCTTTCGAACAAGGATGCATCCACGTAGTCTTACGACAGCTGGGTTGCTGGTAGAAAGTATTAGTGATACTAAGGTCAAATTCCTTGCAGATAGTGAGAAGACATAATCCATTAGAATTCACATGACCAATACCATGGTGACCTAAAACACCTTTCCAAGAATGATAATCATTGCCAACATGAGCATTGAAGTCACCTGTAAGGACTAATTTATCCTTATGTTGGACTTTGTAGATGACATCCCAAAGGAGATTGTAAAAATCATCTTTTTCTTCATCTGAACTACCTAAAGTTGGCGTGTAGCAGCTAACCATCGTCACACGGGTGTTGCACTCCAGATTGAGGGTTAATGCCATTATGTGATCAGATACACGTTTAGGTAAGGAAGGCAGTGAGCTAGCAAGGTCTGACTTGATGGCAAAGCCAACACCAGACTGGCGTGGCTCTTTCTCAGTCTTGCCAGCCCATAAAAATATGTATCTGCCTTTTTCTTCCCTAAGCTGAGAATTACCAGCCAGACGTGTTTCACTATTGGCCACTATGTCGATGTTATATTTCTTTAACTCGAGAGAAACAAGAGCTGTTTTACGCTCTGGTGCAGAATCATTGTCCTGAAGAGTGTGAACATTGCAGGATCCAAAATGGAAATTCTTATATTTATTCTGATCTTTCTTGCTGTTTCAACTGCTTTATTGGATAACCAGACAGCTGCAGCGGGCTGCCAAGTCTCTGTGTAAGCAAGCAATGTTTAGGGCTCCTTTTATCGCCCCCTCCCCATAATAAGGAAAGCAGTGCAATCCTAAATAGGGCTGCTTTATCACCGATGGAGAACACAGATATCACAATTGCTCATGGGTTTGTGAAAGAACGGCCATCACTCATCGGTCTGCCACTGTGTAGAGCTCCAGTAATATCCTTTACCTGACCCTGTCACCTTCACTCTCTTGCCAGCAGACCTTGCAAGTGAACTGTGTGGATAAGAACGAATCAAGGTAAACTGGTAGAAAACCTACACAAGTGATTTAATTAAAGTGGTGAAGGTTTGTGCAGAACCATCCACACTTTTCAGAACTATTGATACACTTGGTTGGTGCAAATAAATGCCACAGATGAAGCAGACAATAGACCTCAGGCTTTTCGTGTAAATTTTTCCATCTCCTAGACCAATCTTGTTCTATAACACTAAAGAGCTTGGTCAGCCCTGATAGACACTGTTTGCCCATAACTGGGACCCTAACAGGTGCTACTACCCCAGGTCAGGGTGGACCTGAAAACAACAGCAATTAAAAGGTGGTTCCACGCTCCACAAATCCTCCAATCTCTTGCTGCCAGATGTAGTTTATTGTCATACCCAGGACATTATATATATATATATATATATATATACGTGAGAGATTTAGAGGATGTGTGAAGACCAGTGCTGCCCGTTACCCTTAAAATTAAAGTACAGTAGATGAGCAACTTCTACCCATTCCCCACCCCCCTAAACTCATAAAAAGTTTTTTATTTTTTTTTGATGTTGGAGTAAACAGTTCGAAATTAAATGTGTTGATATAATGCTATATATACATTTTAAATAATATTAATAAAATAGATATAAGATTATTATTACAATATTTTATAAGTATTATTATAAATGTTGTTGTTTTTATGTATGTGTGTGTGTGTGTGTGTGTGTATATATATATATAAAAAATTATTATAAAGTATAAAAGAAAATTTTATTTTTATTATTATTATTGTTGTTGTTGCTTAAAAAAATGAAAAAAAGAAATTTGAATGATAAAAATAGAACAAATTGACTAGCAGTAAAAACGAAACAAAATAACGTTATAACTGGGAACACATTTACAATAAAATTGAAATTACGTAACTTTGCAAATAAAAAATAAGAAAATGTAAAGAATTAAAATTCAACCTAAATGTTATAAAAGAAACTTTGAATATAACTAATAATAAAAAAAAAAAAGAATCGACGATAATGAGCCACTAGTCAAAGATAAACAAAATAAACTTTAAAAAACAATGCTTTTTACTAATTCTGAAAATTACGTCCACTTTCGTAAAAACAACAACAGATAAATAAATTTTATGCTTAGTTATAAATGAATTAAAATTATTCATGCCACTATATAATTAGTCAAACAAATAAAATACATTAAATATTCTTATAACTCTTAGCGAGAAATTTCACTAGCGAAATAATGATTGTTTTAAAATAAAAAAGATAGAAAGAAGAAAAAAAAAGAAGAAAAATCATTGTATGCCATGACTAAAGATAAGTAAACATGTACAATAAAATTATAAAATACATATATTAAATACTGTAAATGAATAACATAACTAAAATATCATAAAATAATAAACAAGAAAAATATAAGAATTATGTATGATTTAAAAATAAAAAAAACAATAAAAAACAATTGAGACTTTCCTTAACATCGCTTCCTTAGAGCAAAAAAAAAAAAACCACATCTGTTTACTCTGACATCAATGTTCAATTATTTTTCAAAAAGAGGTTAAGTTAATGAGAAAGTGATAATGTAGAGCAATTTAAGGCATAAAATATTTAGAAAAGCAAACTTCTTGCTACTGCAGTTTCTACCAATTTGGTATCATCAGGCAGTAAAATTGGATATTCCATTCCAAGACACTCTTATATATATATAATTATGTTGCTGATAAAGGGGAGAAGGAAGGAAGTAAAGATGGGACAGAAAAAAAAATTGATGTATTTTATATAGATACTCCTACCCACGTTCATAGCTTGCTAGTAGGAATTTCCTAACATACATGCATGCTGTTATCCTCTCCGATCTTTTGTTAAGCAGCTTATGTTGTTCAGACCTTAGAATATTTGCTAATTTCTCCTCTTGGCATAAGTTACACATTTTATTCCCAATGTTAAATGACCAGGTTTTTTTCTCTACACACCTCATTTCACAATGGGACTTTTATTATTTTTTCTTATACTTTCCATAAGCAAGCAAGTTTGGAGCTGTTTCTATACCTTACTAGTGTAAAGGAATATTTGTGATTATGATATCTCAATTTGATATATAAGAGTATCTACTGGAAAAGTTGGTTCATTGTGTTGTGCAACACAATTTTTCTTGCCAGAACCCATCTTACATATTTATAAGTCTATCACTCATCCATGCATTGAATATTGTTGTCACATCTGTTCTGATGCTTCTTCTTTGTATTTAGAGATTTTTGATAAAACACAATGAAGAATCTGTAATGTTATGGATCCTGACTAGGCATCTTCGCTTCAGTCACTTTTCCACTGCCATAACATAGCTTCCCTGTGACTTTTCTATAAATATTTTCGTGTTAATTGTTCTGAGGAGCTTCCTTACACTTTATGAATTTAAGTGCAGTGCTAGACTGGCAGCAAGGCTTCAGCATTTTATAGTTGAAATCTAACTGTAAGTTCTATACTAATAGTTTCTTCTCTCACACTTCTTGATTGTGGAACTTTCTCCTGGCTTCTTGCTTTTTAGACAACTTTTAAATGCAATAACAATCGTTATTGCCTGTCATTTTCTTTTCTTGTTCTCTCTCCTTATTTTTCATATATACTTCCACACTCAGTAACTCCCTGTGTCTTAGTAGCTTTATTGCTTTGTTTGAGGTAAAATGATTGAAAAGTAGTTGCAGGACTTATCACAATTTGAATGAAGTTATTTACTTTTTGTTTTCTTTAATTAATTATTATCCTATTTTTTCCTTAGCTGGCATCTGGCCAAGAACTAAACCAGTCTCAGAATGCAGCCTCAGATTTTCATACTGAAGATTTCCAGCAAGCAACACCACTGCACCAAATCCAGCCGACCATTCGTCAGACACTTGATGCACTTACTCTCCGCACAGCCACAGTAGAGGCACGTCCGACCAGCAATGATCCCTTAGAGCCATCTCTATCTGTGGTCTATACACAGGCAAATCTATCCAGATTTTCTATGATTGAGACCATTACTGCCCAGGCTGGGACAAACAGCCAACCTCTGGCATCTTTTATCCGTGATGGAAATATCCAGTCGTTTCCTTTGCTTCAACTATCGACCAATACGGCCCCATCTCAGGTCTCAACTGAACCCATCCCAACTATTGATCTGAACAGGATTACAAACTCTGTTTCGCTTAATTTTGATCCGAATAACTTGTCTGAGCCATTACCGACTCATCAGCAGTCACAAGAACAGCGTGTGGAGACATATCCCGTGTCCCAAGAGTCTTCCTCTACACTGAAGTCTGAAAATCAAGTTCTTGGTGACATTACCAAATCAAATCTGGATGCGAAGGATTCCTTCATGTTTTCCTCTGATAACCAAACATCCTTGTTCCCTTTTCCCGCTCCAGGCAATACAATATTTGAAGACACATGTGGGACAGAGGAGCTTGGTCACAGATCCAATCTAACTGGTCACTTCCGACCCATTGCTTCTGACGATGATCATGACAAGTTGTTGTCTGAATTTGACAGCAACCTCTCAATGAAAACAATGAACTCAATCTTGCTCCCAGAGTCTGGCATCGTCTACTCAAGGAGCTCATCGTTGATTGAGCTGGAAAAGAACCAGAAAAATGGGGAGGACCATAAGCTCCAGCGATCTAAGAGTGAAGACCACACATTCATGCGCCCACAAAACCGAAATGATGACATTCTCTACCGGCCACGCAGCCGAAACGAAGATCCGGTCAGTGGGAAATGGCGTAGCCACATTAGTGATGAACTTTTATCGAAAACGGAAAGTGGTGGAATATTCCGAAATCCTAATCTAGGAACAAGTCCTGTCCGTACGAAACGAAAGCATCGTCCGGCTCCTCTCATCATACCGCCATATGTTAGCAATAGTGGATTCCAGAGCCGACTACGATCACCAAGGATACGAGATGGGAATGAAGTCCGTACAGTCTCTCCTCCCCCCTACACACCTCCTCCCATGCTGAGTCCTGTTCGAAGTGGACCTGGTCTGTTTTGTAACATTCCCACACCTTACAGATCAGCGTCCCCTCGGTTGACGCCCAGTATGACTGCACGCATGCCGATAATGAGCAGAAGGAGTAAGTATACTTTCAGATAAATGCTTTTGGTGTCAAAAGGGTAGTTTCGACATTGACCCTGCTATTATTTTAACTACCTTTACTCTTTGGTAATATTTATTGTTTTAAGAAGCAATGATTAGAACTGTAATAAAACCTAAACATATGATGAAAGTGAACTTATACCTTTTTTTTTGTTCTTGAGAATTTACAACAAAAATATTATTAAAAATATGAACTATTTATTTTTAGACTGTTTATTTAGAAGAATAATTTTATATTTACATCCTAAAACCTAATACAATTAAAACTAATGCAATGATTATCATTTGCTAATTAATAAAGAAATAAATATGTAAATAATTTTTTATTCATAAATTTATAACCATTTATAAAATTATTAAAATATGTGAACCAACTATGAGAAAATCCTTTTTATTTACCGTTTTCTAAAGTTCAAATCACTTGATAATTAGCAGATATTTTACTAAACTTTCCAACAAGAGAACTTCAACATGGTGTAATGTTTAGCAAACTTGTCTTGCTAGATCTATTATGACTGAATAGTGAGTTTGATCCTCACTGAGTGCCCCATAATTTCAGCTTTGTACCACATCTAAGCTACACTCAAAAAATCACCATTCCAATAAATAATAGAATAAATAGTGTAAATAAACTCTCTAATTAGTATGTAGTGTTTATTATTTTTGTTGTCAATTCTCAAGAACAAAGAAAATGTATAGATTCACTTTTATATGTTTATGTTTTATTAAAATTTTAATCATGGCTTTTTAAAAGAATAAACATTGCCGAAGAGCAAAGGTAGTTATGATAATAGCAGTGTCAATGGAGAAAATGTCCTTTTGACACTCTATTTTATTGCAGGCACAAAGGTTCAAGTTTTCTTTGATTCAACCATGATATAGTTATTTTTCATTTTCTCTCTTTGTCTCTGTCTTTCTCTCAGTACATGCCAAAGAATATTATTATCCTTTATGTATCAGACGTATTGAGTGCATTAACATAGCAGGTTCCATTCTGATACCATTTGTTGTTTTTATGCAGGATAAGTCACATTAATTTAATTAAATGGATCTTAATCTAAATAAAATAAAAGTCGGTGTGTTACTATGGTAAAAATTAAGCATTTGTTTTTTGGCCAAAGCCTCGTAGTAAGTTGAGACATTTATAGAAGGAGTGGAAAGGTTGGGGAAGAGGAGGGAAAGGCGGGATAGTGGTAGTTTTAGCAGCCTATCCTGCTTAGATACTTCTTAATTTTTGGAACTATATAAATGGGTTTATACTGTGGGTTGATTGTTATGAGGTGGTGGTCATTACTACAAATAATAATTAGAAATCACAATATATCAGATATAAGAGGTCCTCTATCCTCCTTGGAATTATCCCTTCTAGTCACAAACTGGTAATATATGTGTAATGTGCTTTCATAATATATTTGCATTCAAAGTTCTTTAGAAATAAATTGTTAAAAAAATTAAATTTGAAATTGAATTTTAGGATGAAATGTTTTTTAATGTAAATTTCTTCATAGAATGAAAAAGAATGACAAATATCCTATTGTTATTTGAATGTTCAGTAAAATAAAAAATGTTTGTGTGAAATTTTTCAGCCAGCATTGGCCCTTCCCCACAAGAATCTCCAATCACTGAAGAAACCCCAGAGCCTGAGGCACCTCCAGAAACTGACATTCAACCGTAAGTAGAATGATTTTTATTTTATTTTTTTAAATAAAGCTTTTTATACTATCAGGAAATTATTTTCATCAATTTGTCCTTACTTAATCTTTGTATTCCAATCTAACAATTTCCAAGTCATCTGTATTTGATTGACAATGTGACAGTATTTGTAACATGATAAAATTATTTAATTTTAAAAGACAAATTTTTTTTGTAGTCTTGCTGGAAAATTTAAAATTTAAAAGACATTTCACTGAAAATATAATTAAAAAAAATAACTTAATCCAAGTAAATTAGTGATGGGTAGAGCAAAATTCTGCAAATGATTAATAATATTATCTTACAAAATAAATTAATTATATTAATAAAACTATAAAAGATAGACAATTTAAATGCCTAAATTTAATAATGTGTACATTGTGTTTAACGTTCTTTAAGCTTTGCATGTTACAAAATAAAACTTCATATTTTCGAGCATATAACAGATACTGGTGTATAATATGCACCTACAATTTGGCCAGAAATAGGTATGATAAAACTAACATTATTCAATTGATGAATCATCTCCAAGGTTCGTTCAAAAAGTTCTGAGCCTCACCCAGATAGAGTTGGGGAAACAAGATAGTCTTTCACTATTTTTCAATATAGTCTCCCTTTAGATCAATGCATTTGGTCCAGTGATGCTTAAAAATTGCAATCCCATTATGGAAGAAGGTGGCATCTTCGTCCTCCAAAAATTCCTCCACAGCACATATGACCTCATCATTGTTTCCAAAATGGCAAGCACACAAATGGGATTTGTGTTTAGGAAACATGGAAGAATTCAGATGGAGTTAAGTCTGGAGAGTAAAGGAAATGGGGTAGAGATTCAAAGTCACAGTTGGTTACTTCAGCTACTGCAACCTGAGCAATGTGAATGGGGGCATTATCCAGGAGCAAGATCACACTCGCCCTCAGCTCTCCTCTGCATTTTGACTTGATTGCTTCCTTCAATTGTTCTAATTCTGATGCATAGTATTGTCCATTAATAGTTTTTTCCCTTTTCCATGTAGGCTATCAAGATTATGCCTTCAGAATAAAAAAATAAAAACAGAAGCCATCACCTTGCCAACAGATGTTGTCTGCTTGAATTTTGGAGGTAGAGAACCAGTGTTTCCACTGTTTGCTTTGAATCTTTGGTTCAGTTTCAAAGTGTTGAACCCTGGTTTCATCTTGAGTTACTAATCGATGGTGGAATTCTCAGGCTCATACTGGAAACGACTCAGAAATGTCCTAAAAATGTCAGTCCCTTTCAGCTTCTGCTCTGGTGTCAGCATTCTTGGCACCCATCTTGCAGACATCTTTCTCATCCCCAAGATCTCAGTTAAAACAGTATGGACTGAACCAAAACTAATGCCTATGGATTTATCTGCTGGACAATAAGACATTTGTCATTTAAAACCATATAGTGAATGACATCAACTTGTTCATCAGCGGTTGAGGTTTTTGGATGACCTGACTGAGGGTTGTCTTCTGTGCTGTCCCTGCCCTGCTTGAATACTGCAGCCCACTTCTTCACAGTTGCATAAGAAGAGGAGTCCTCAGCAAGTATTTGTACCATGTCCTCATGAGTTTCCTTGAGTGTCAGACCTTTCTTTTGCAGATACTTTATGACTGTTTGAACCACTGTTTTGTCCATTTTTTAGATTTGTTGCACACCTTTCACTTTTGTATGAGCCTCACCTGCACAGAAATTAAGACAGGAATCTGAATTAGTTTTTCTAGTTTTATAAGAAGTGATAGTTTGTTGCCACAACAAAAATGTTCAGCTGTGGCTCTTCTTTCTCGGTGAGGCTTAGAACTTTTTGAATAACCTTTATATACTTATATGTTCTTTTTGTTTTTTAGATTTTAACATTATTTTGATTCATAATTTTTAAATGGATTTTTTAGTCTGATATTATTTTTTGTTAACATAATTGTTATTTTTTTTCTTTGGGAAGGACTTTTCAATCTCTACACTGATTGATATTAATTTCACAGTTTAGAAAAAATAATGAGGGAAAAAACTGAAACAGATGTACTCACTAGAAATAACTTTTATAGTTATAAGAAATTATTATGGTTGCTCAGGGTCATCAGGAGGCTAGTGTATGAAACAGGAGTGTTAAAAAGTGGAAGCTAAAAGGAAACTAATACTTAAGATCAGGAAGAGACACTATTTACATTATTCAGATTATTGTCCTCATCTTTGTCGCCATATTTATTGCAATGTTTCGGCTGTTGTATGCTCCAGCCTTCTTCAGATGGTTGGAATGTTGAACTGAACCCTTTATTTTGCTCACTGGGGTAGACTGTTCTAGTTCCACATCCCATGTCTAATGGATGTCAATTATCAGTTATCTCCTGTTAATTCCCCTCTCCAAGTTCTCCACCGCCTTAACCAGGTATTGAACACACACTCTTTGGGTCCTGTCACTGGATCTAACTAACGCCTTTATCCATTGTGCCATGTGTCTATTGTCCTCATCTTTGTGCCGTGTGTCCTTGAGGACACACGGCACAAGGATGAGGACAATAGTCTGAATAATGTAAATAGTGTACCTACTACCTCATCTCAGAAATATAGATGGATACAGGAAGAGAAAAATTTCTGGGGCACATAATGAATAAAGAAGGTTTGGAAAATCTAATACTCACAGGACAGATTGAAATCAAGAAGGACAGAGGATAACAATGCATAACCTAGTTGGTGAGCTTGAGTAAATGGATGGGAGGACAAGGTTTAGGAGAGATAACAAAAAAGGCAAAATCTTTTAATTGCTACAAAGGACAAGAAATTGTGGAGAGCCATGATTGTCTATGTCCTGAAGGGAAACAATCATCAGGATATAAAATATAATTTTTAGAAGAGTTTTTAATGGGGGAAAGTGCACTTTATTTTATATTAAGTAATTTGAACAGGGGAATTTTTACTTTTTTTTAGTGCAAAGTAGTTATTTTTCATTCAATTTATTTCATTTACTATCTTTCTTTGGCTTACAAAAATAAAAATTGCTTTATTATTTTTGGGTTACACTTATTAGCCTAAGGATATGGTTTATTTCACATTATTGAAGACTTAGAGTCACAACATGTTGAAACACTAGTTCCCATGTGATCACTGAAGTTAAGCAATGTTGGACCTGATCAGATTAAGATTTTGTTTATTTTTTTCATTTAAAGCTAAAATTAAATATTTAAATTTTTAACTAGCATAGATGTGATTTTAGTAAATAATATCTTTGATGTAGAGGCTACTGTTTGAAACATGCTTTTTAACATTCTAAAATGCATAAATATTTTCCTTTTTTATTCAGACATGTCAATATTGGTCCAAATTACCAAGCTGAATTGCCTCCTTTTAGTTGTAAGTATTTTGTCATTATGTTTATTTTTTTGTTTCTTTGTATGGATGACAGAAAGATTATGTTCTCTTTGGTTTGTAAGTTTATTTTGGGGGATAGACATCTTTAAAAACTTTTGAACTGTTAAACTCGAGAGACCATGGATCTGTGTCTGGATTTTGTTTTTTCAGCTGGTGGTCATAATACAGCTTCTGTTTTACCAATCAAGCAACATCTGTCAGGAAGCCCTCTGATTGGGAGATTGGAGGTTTTGAAAAGTGTAGAACCACCTCTTTTAGCATTGATGTTGTTCCCAGGTCCACCCTCATCCAGGGTGGTAGCACCTGTTATGGTCCCAGCTATGGGCATTATGTACTCACAAACAAAAGCAAGACTATGAAAGTATAAAAATACCAGCAACACATTTTAATATATGAACAAAAAATTATCAGCAATACCTATATATAGCAGAATTATTAACATTAACAATTTATTGTAGAATTACCAACAATACCTATATTATAGCATAATTACCAACAATACCTATATTATAGCATAATTACCAACAATATCTATATTATAGCAGAAATTACAATTTAGCTATAGTTGAAGCCATAAGATCATGTTCAAAATATTTATATATTGGCATTAAGTAACCCATAGAGGTTGATATGTTGTTAAACAAAATCAATCAAACACAAGTAAGGGGGATTATGGAATGTCCTCTTCTTGATGCAGGCCTAGACAATTTTTTTTTGTTTTTCTATGGGATATTGATAGTTGACCATGCAACAAATCTCCATTTCTTCATGCCTGCTGATGTTGTCCACATGAAGGGCAGGATGAGAGTGGATTCAATGTTGGACTGCCTTTGGGACTCCAGCTCTAGATTTTATCCCCTGGGCATACTACTGAAGCCTTTTTCATTATTGGGTATAACCACAAAGTAGTGGTGGGTTGAAATCAAAGTTTTCCTTCTTAAATGGTCTGTCCTCCCAGGTTTCATCTACCTGATATAAGCATTACCTCTGTCATTACCTACTTAAGTAAATCTGTTAAAAAAGTAATGGTCATATTTTGTCCATGCATTGAATATCGCTGTCACATCTAGTCTGGTGCTTCTGTTGTGTATTTAGAGAGTCTTGATAAAATCCAAAGAAAAATCTGCAGTGTTATTGGTCCTGATCTCAGCTTCAGTCACTTTCCCACTACTGTAATCTAACTTCCCTATGCCTTTTCTATAAATATTTTAATTGAAATTATTCTGGTGAGATTTCATTTTTTGGTATTTTGACTTTATGAATTTTAGACATAGTGCTAGATTGGCAGTTAGGTCTCATTATTTTACAATTGAATTGGCTAGATGTAACTGTAAGTTCTATGCTAACAGTTTCTTTTCTTGCATTTCTTGCTTGTGGTTCTTCTGGTTTCTTGCTTTCCATTCAGCTTTGTGCATCAAAAATTTAAATGCAATATCAATTGTTATCTTCTGTCTTAATTCCAATTCTTTTATTTTACTCTCTCATTAATGTTTTTTTCTCATATTCTCTCACACTTTTCATTTTAGTGGCTTTATTGCCTTACTTAGAGTGAAAGGATTTAAGAAAAAAAATGGTTCCTTATTATTTCTTCGTAGTTTTTAAAGAAAATGTCTGAATAAGTTGTGTTTTAGCCTCTTGAGTTTATGTTAAAATATGTCATGATTTCTTATTGTTTAAATGAATTGATTAGTAAGAAAGAGTTATATTTTATGTTGTTCAGCATTCTTCATTCAAAATTTAATGCCATCTGACTCTTGTGGGTATCTGTACTCATGGTCATGTCATGTACTCTTTGTATCTATAAAAAGAATACCCGCTCGGCCCGGTGGCTAGGATCAAAGTGTAGTATCTGTGCTTTGTGAGCTGCCGAGCGGGTGTCTGGTTTAACTCTCTGCTTGCAGAGAGGAACCCGGACGAACTCCACCAAGGGTGGGGTTTCGTTCGGGGAGTTGATTTGAACTAGCCCGCTTGGTCGGGTTTAGATGGGTTTTATTTTTGGCTGGGCCTACGGGCTCGGACATACCCACATTAAAAAGGCCTTGTGCCACATTCAATTCCTGTGGGTGAATTGATAAATACCATCTGTACTCATGGTCACAGAGATGTGGATAAGAGAAGGCTCTTTATTCAGGTCAGTACCTAGATGAGTGACCGCTTGGGAATACCAGGTGTCATAAGCTTGGATGTGCAGGTGGTGTAATGGATAATGGCTCGGAATTGTTAATCGGAGAGCAGAGTACCAATTCCCATTGTGTTTGTTATATTCACTTGCGCGTAAATACCCTTGGGAAAGGTATGAATCCACCTCTTCTGCCACCGGCTATGGGTTAATTAGTAAGACTTGTATCACTAAACCATTATTATCTTAAAAAAACATTCTAACACACTACTGTCTTTAAATAATCAGCAAACCAAAGAATATGAATGAATCAACCAATCTTTATACACATTTTCTCATTGTTTAATGTGTCTAATAATTATTAGTGCTGGGGATGATGATAAACTACATCCAACAGCAAAGCCACTAATCAGGAGATTGAAGGTTTTGAGCAGCGTGGAACCACCTCTTAATTGCTGTTGTTCTCAGGTCCACCCAGGATAGTAGCACCTGTTAGGGTCTCAGCTATGGGCATATAGTGAACCTTGCCAAACAAAAACAAAACACTATGAAAGTATAAAAATAACATTTTTATAGTAAAAATATCAGCAATACATTTTTAAATAAAAAAAGTTACCAACAATAAATATATATGTAGTGGAATTACCAACAATACATTTTATCTGTAGTAGAAGGTATACAACTGCATTCAAAATATTTAGATTTCAGCATTAAATGACCCATAGAGGTTGATATGCTGCAAAACAAAATCAACCAACCAACCCAACAATCATTAACTTTTTCGAACGTATTTGATGCATAATAAGGAATAAAATTGAAAAATAAACTTTTATTATTTAAATGGGAAAATAAAATTTATTAAAAATATGAATTTTGTATTGAATTATACAGAAATAATTAATTTACCTTTGTGTCACTGGCCCCCTTCCACACCAAATACAAATGAAGTAAAGAAAATGCTTTTATTTTTTGTAGGAACAAATTTATCTTATTATTGAATTTAACAAATTAACTTTCCTTTTTCAAATCCTTTTCTTTTTCAGATGATCGAAGTGCTGTTTTTGCTGTTGAGCCAAAAGAGGATTTGGTTTGGCATCCATCTGTGTTGGATGACGTATATTATGAAGACGGTAAATTTGTTCTTAACGACTTATTCTCTAAACCCTAAAATCCCTTTTAGTAACAGATTATGTGGTATTTAAACTTTTCTAAACTGATCTGACCCTCATTTTTTGATAGCTTTATTAATTTCTCTCTCACAACAACAACAACAACTCCTTGTAAGATCTGATGTTACTGCTTGTAATCTGTTTTGTAAATATCACAATCTGTTTAACCGTTATCTTAATATCTCTTGAGCTGATTTAGTACTTTTCACAAACTTTAAATGTTGAAAATATATTTGAGTGAAGAATTTATATAAAAATTTATATTGTTTTAGGTAATATTAAATTGTTTCTTACTATCAATTGAAGTTGAGTACCAAATTCTGATGATGTAAAAGAAATGATCTATACTAACAAAAGAAACAGATGACTTACATCATCCTCTGTCTCATGACCTTGTCAATGCACTTAATTCAGTGGTGAATATTAACCACATAGAGTGAACATTATACAGTTATTTCAGATCAAATTCAGTGAATAACTAAATTAAGCTGCAGATTTATTGACCTACCCTTGTAGATGTTATACAAGTGTATTTTTATTTTAATTTTATTTTTACTACTGCTCAGCACTGTCTATTCTCCTCCCCACTTGATATACAGCTGAAGCCTTTTGTAGTCAGCTTCTGATTTCCAATAATAGTTTTTTTGGATAGGATATAATATTTCAAGGCTTTTTAAAGTGATTTATAGACCAGCAAATATTTCTGAAAGCTTGTTACCATTTTGTATTAGAAAATGCAAATATAAAATAATAATGCTGTTGGAAATTGACTTTAACTATGAATAAAACAAACTAAAAAGACATTCCCCAGCCAATGGGAGCAATAGTGTATTTTTTGCTATCGTGAGCCTTGAGTATTCTTGTTTCTTTAAAATTCCTTTCTCACAATTTAAAAAAAAAAGATTTTTGTCTGTTAAGATAGTGAAGGATGTTTAAAAGGTTCAAAGACTTGAATAACATTAATTGTTCTTTTGATGTTTCAGTCAAATCCTATCAGGAATTGGCCAGTTGTTCTGCTGTCAAAGGGAATGGATCCAATGTAGAATACGCCATGCATTTGCTGTATATGACAAAAGGGGATATTCAGGTAGGTACTGTTTTTTTTTCTTTATTTTTTTTTATTTTTTTACAAACAAAAGAAAAATAACAGAAATATAGTGTTGTTTTTTTATGCCATGTGTCTTCAGTACATAGGCAGCCATGGCTCTCCACAGATTCCTTTTCATTATTATCTGTGAATTACGACGCCTTCTTGGGAAAGATAGGGAAGTTGTTTCCTGTTGCCTTTTTTATGGCTTTTAAATTAAGAATTGACCTTCTAGACTGGTTGCTACCCAAAACTAGAGAGCCCAGTAAGAGAGGAAAAAAACATTGATTAATGTCTTTTCCAAAAGCATTTGTGTGAAAGTGAATGCAGCATACAAATCTGAAATTTGAACTTGGTTTACTGATTCTACGTTCCATGCCAATATCTGTTTCCCTACACACATTATGTTGTGTACAACTGATAATTTCTTATGCTTATATATTGTTTACTCTGTCACAGGACGATAAAACTGTCCTCCTCGGGCTAGATCTACATCCTTTTTTTTTTGTGGAGACTTTCCTTAATGCAAATTGAGATTGATATGCCGTAAAACAAAATAGACCAAACCAAATCATTAATGCAAAATGCAATAGCTGCTGTGGTATGGATTATCTCCCCTTATGCATATTCAGTATTTAAATAAGTCCAGTCGACACAAGCCATTCTAAGTTGAATAAAGCTTCGGTTAATTTACACTTGCATTCATTTTCTCACTAGAATTGCATAAACCATTATGTGGAACCTTGCATACCTCTTGTTCAGTTTTTTGATGAATCACTTGAGTTCTTGCTTAAGGTATCTCTATCACATCACCAAGTACAGTTTTGAATTCAGAGCTGTCCTCTGAGATCAGTGGTTCCTAACTTTTTTGCTAATGCACCATTTTCAACATAAGTCAGGCTCTCATTCTCCCATTTTCCAAAATTGTCCGACTCAATAGGTACATTCCAAATAATATGAATATATTATTAAAAATTTTCATTCATTCCCATAATAGTACATTTTTACATGGATTATTTTTTATAGAGGAGTTACACAAATTCAGTAGAATATGTTGAGGAGTTTTTTAAAACTTGATTACATATACAATAATTTGTTTCAGTTATTAAATAAATAAAACTGAAGCATACTTCAATAAACAAAAAATTCAATAGAATGCCAGGGTATTGTTTATTGTTTATTTTGTTTTATGGCATATCAACACCTCAATGGGTTATTTAATGCCAACAAGATTTTTAGGATAAGTTTGTATGAATAGAATATGTATTCTTTGTAAGAAATCAGTTTGTAGATCAGGTTTCATTTATGTATTTTTGTAAAGAAGGTTTTTGTTGAGAGTCAGATGTATTCCTGGTAATATTTTTTTCAAAAAAATGTATTCCTAGTAATATTTTTTTCAAAAAAATGTATTACTGGTAATATTTTTTTTTCCCAAAAATGTATTGCTGGCAATAATTATTTTTTCAAAAATGTTTTGCTAGTAATAATTTTTTTCAAAAATGTATTGCTGGTATTCTTATTATAAAATGCTATTTTTACACTTTTATAGTGTTTTGACCCCAGTTTGGGGGTTAACTATTTGCCTATAATGGGGACCCTAACTGGTTCTACCACCCTGAGTCAGGCTGGACATGGGAACAACAGCAATTAAGAGGTGGTCCCATGCTCCTCAAAACCTCCTGATCAGACACCTTATGCCAGATGTAGTTTATTGTCATACCCAGGACAATCAGGGTATTGTAATGCAATAAACAAAATTCTGTAAATGAAAAGATAAAGTAAAAGATCATTCCCTCCTACCACTGAAGCCCTGAAATCCTCTGGGGTGTGATTTCCTTCCTGGTTGAGACTGATTACCAAATGCAGCTAGAGAGTCCAGTCTGCTCTACTATTTAACCCATAGTTGGGTGGAGAAGAGATTAAATTATACTTTTCTCAAGTTTATTTAGATGTAAGTGAATGTCACAAACTCAATTGGAATTTGAATTCTTTGGAGTCCTTGGATTTGATCTACAACACCCCTGGGCAGTGTGCGTATCTGACGCTGTTGATAGCTCACTTGCAAAATTCAGATTCTTTAAATGTAATGAGGAGAAAGTCTTAGTTATGGTTGTCAGAAGAATCAAAAATAAAAGTAATTTTTTTCTTAATTTAAGATATACATTGCCAGTACTTGCAGTAGTTGAAAAAGGATAAAAGCTGACCAAATGTACAAATGGAAATTGGTATTTGATTTTATACATAATCTAACTGAAAAACTAACAAAGATCTTTATTTTCACTCATGCATTTTGTGATAAAATGTCATCACTTGTCATTTTCTATTTCAAAATAAGCACTGGAATTGTTTGACCTTGCATTTACCACAAATTTATTAATGGGTGAAATAACATCCAGTTGAAATATCCATGCAGGACACAATGCTTACTTACTAAAAAATACAGAAACAAAATTACTGTTTTTTATATAAATATTTTCATCTTTGATACTACAAATTTATGAGTTTAAGCACAGTACTAGATTGTCGGCAAGGCCTTATCATTTTACAGTTGTAATTGCTAAATATAACTGTAACAGTTTCTTTTCTTACACTTCTTGCTTGTTGAACTCTCTTCTAGCCTCTTGCTTTCCAGTCAACTTTGATCTTCAAAAATGTAAATGTAATATCAATCATTATCTACTGTGTTCTTAATTCCTGTTCATTTATTGTTTTCTCTCCTTAATAATGTTGTATCTTAGTGACTTTATTGCCTTACTTGGGGTGAAATGATTAAAAAAAACTTGGAGCTGAAGTTTTGTGTATTTATTTACCTTGTTTCAGTATAAATTTGACTTTGAATAACAAAAGTATCCATAAACAAAAAATATCAATTGAAAAGATCATAACAAACATTGATTAATAATAAAACAAAAACAGTTTGTGTAATTAAGCAAGTGATTTAAATCTTATTTTTAATTTAATTTGCTAATTATACTGCATTAGACATAAGCTGAAGCCTCCCAAAGTTGTTAAATTATGAAAGCGTTGAAGCAAATTTCAAATTGTATAAGAATTTATTTGTTGTGTTTAATAATTCTTAGTAAGTCTCAAATTTTCTTCAGACATACAAATCTTTATAATTCCAGGACGCCCTGCTGATGTTGATGGGGGATGTACCAAAATTGCCAAAATATCACCCCTTGTTATCATTTATATATCAAGGTAAGTACTGAAATTGTTTTGATTTTTGTTTTGTTTTGTTGCAGTATTCTTGTAAGGTATCTCCTGTATGGAGAAATTTACCATCTGTGAGGTTTCCATTAAACCTCTTCAGAAAAAAGAGCATTCAGACTAAGTATATAAGACTTTGCGGCTATTTAAAAACCCATATGGGCTTTTGTAGTACTCAACACAGTTTAGGAAAAGGAAGAAATTTAAGCAACATTGAGCCAGGTCAGTACCTAGATGGGTGACTGCTTGGGAATATCAGGTGCTGTAAGCTTGGATTGCGTGAGTGGTATGGCTTACGGCCATATCATGTTGAAACACTGGTTCCCGTAAGATCACTGAAGTTAAGTAACATTGGGCATGATCAGTACCTAGATGGGTGACCGTTTAGGAATACTAGGTGCTATAAGCTTGTATGTATGGGTGCTGTAATAGATAACAGCTCAGAATAGGGAGAGCTGAGTTCGTATTCCTGTTGGCTTTGTTAAATTCACTTATGTAAAAATACCCTTGGGAAAGGTATGAATCTACCTCTTCTCCCCTCAGCTATGGATTAATTAGTAAGATGTATCGCTAAACCATTAATATCTAAAAAAATTCTTACAACCTAAAATATTTTCTGGCTTTAAATAACCTGCAAAGGGTTGATAAACTGTAGAAAATGAATGAATGAATCAATATTTTCATTGAAAAAAAATAAAATTCGTTCTGTAGATATGAAAAATCAAATTTATTGCTTTATACATTATTACAGATTTACAGTGCAAGAGATTCAGATATGAATAATGTAAAGTTACTAATTATGCAGCATTAACAGTTTCAATAAATTCATTAATGTTCTGTCGCTTGATAGTTTAGAGAGAGAAAAGTGCCTGTTATCTAAAACAATGTTTAGAATACAAGACCTTGTCCGAAATACAGAATATGCAAATGCTTGCAAAAGGAAATATTAAGCGATGAATATTTTAGGTCTTACCTCCAATGAAAGATTAGTGAAAGAAAAAGACTTTCTGCATGTTTAACTTTATTTAGCATTACTGTTATCATGACAACATGTTACTGACAAAAGCAGCTTACTCAAATCAAGGGCAGATAATTTTGAGATTTCTGAGAATCTACAGGATCATTGAAATTGTATCTCTTTGTTTTTAAATTGTACACTTTAATGTTTTTGGACTAGCATACTCATTTTGATTGTTGAACTCACAAGGTTTTGGCTGTTGTATCATGTTGGCTTTTTTTTTTTTTTTTTAGTTGTCTGTCTTTGTATTTAGTAATCTTGGGTAGCTGGCCTAGTAACTTAAAGCATTGATTAAAGCATATTGTGTTCTGTATATATGCTAGTGCTGAAAAGTCATATATTCTGTTTCAGCGGGAAAAAAAAAATGAGTGAATGAGACTGGTAACTATTAACTAATATGGAATATCCCTTAAACATGGAAAGTGGAATGAGAACACAAAGTCCTGTGGATTGAATAATGTTTACAGTTCAAAATTCCATGAAGGTTATTGAGTACGAAGACAAACATCTAAAAAAATCAAAGAATGCAATGGCCAAAATATTTTGCATATAACAACCAAAATGAGCATGTTGGTCGGAATAGCAAAGCATATGATACTTCCATATGTTAGAAATAGCAACTGATGGAAATTGATGTATTTATTGCAGACATTTGTGGATATAAAAATAGAATAATTTGGGATGATGATACATTTTATTAATGGTGCTTTCAGTACTATTTTCACTAAAAATATGTTATTTTCTGAGGATGCTCTCTAATTATGTTCTTGTGTCAGACTTAATGTACAGTAAATTGTGGTGTAAAAGTCGACCTGGCGTACAAGTCAACCACAAGATTTTTATCTCAAAATTCTGTCTTAGGCCTATACCTATTGTATAGGTCGCCCCCCCCTCTCCCAAACATTTGTTAAGTTACCCATGGCTCAAAACTGAGACCTACCAGTAAATAAAGTTAGGCTTACACCACTTACCTGTATATTGAGCCACTAAACATAATATCAAACAACTTACAACACACACTGGTAAGTACCATATATTGTACTGGTATAACTTAGTGAGCATTTAAAATTCATGTCTACTAATAAACACACTAAAGACATGCATAGCATTCTTAGTTATCTGAATGGCCATCGGAGTTAAATGGCATTTCGGTCAGTGTTTACTCTTACCTGTTGGACACAATGTGTGCTGTAGCATTGATAGAATACTAAATTTGTGTTACTATTGTATTATTTTATATCAATTTCTGTGTTAATATGCTGAATATGTTCATCAAACACAAGTTTTAGTGGAGGATATATTTGTGACATCCTGCTTGGAGGTATGGTAAGTGGTGTACAATAATTGTTAGAAGTGCAGTCCTGCTTGTTTATAACTTGGTAAAGGTTTACATATTATTATACCTGCCATATAAGTCAACCCTTAGTTTTGGAAATATTTTTCAGACTTGAAAACTTGACTTATTTATACCTCAATTTACAGTAGTCCAATATTGTAAAAAACAAAAAAAAAACAACAAATCAATTCTTAAAGACATCAAGGGATATAATTTCATGTCTTTTAAATCTGAAAGCGTGTGACATTTTGTTATCATTATAGATTTCTACCACTTTGAGAAAGTTTTTTTCTTGATTTTTGAGATGTGGTATTGTCATTATCCTTTGATCTTTTCAAACTATTCTTCTCAAGTTTGCTTGTTACTGATGTTATAACATTTTATTTTTGTAATGGTAATGTATGGAGAAAAACAGATTTATAGAAATATTTCTCTTTTACAGAAAATGATTACTGGACCACAGAAGAAATTGAGGCCTACAATGCTGCCTTGATGAAGTGCGATAAAGACTTCTTTAACATTGCCAAAGAGGTAACGTATGGAGAAATTTCTTATATGCTTATTTATAAATGTGTAAAATAGTGCAACAAGAGTTATATTCCCCTCGCAAGCCAGTAAATTTATAAATTTCAATAGCACAAAAAAAACATTTTTTTTTCTAAACTTTTTAAAATATTTCTTTATTTGAATAAATGAATATTAAACTTTTTTTCATATAATTATATTCAACATTTAAAATTTTGAGGTGAAGGGAGAAAAAAAAAACTCTCATTGTGTTACTGACCCTAAGAACCAGTTGATATTTTTTTTTATGGGCTGTGATTGGACAGTTAAAATGTCAACCATCCCCTTTGAAGGGGAAGAGAGAACTGCTACTGGACAGTAGCAGGCAGTTGAAGCTATACCTCCTAGGACTAGGAGGTTTGTTTCTTTCTCCCTACTGAAATAGCAGGCAGCATTTGTCAAGAGTAAAGGATGCTGGGTAACAAAGTTACTGAAGGCAAGTTTCCTTTTAAGTCTTCAAAGAAAGTTTAAAAAGAAGTCCTCTCAAAGAAGCCCCAGAAAAGATGAGCTGGACGTTACAAAGTTTACTGTAAAGAAAGAACTGAGAAGTCCTTAAGTGTTGCTTGTGGCTAAAAGTATTTACAGTGAAGAAGAAGCAAACACGTGCTGTTAACTAGATGTTGTACTACTGCGTGTTTTAAGGAAGTTTTTCCCTTCCTTGGCCATCATATTATAAAAGAAAGACAAATTTTCCATTTGTACTGGAAGAAAATAAGAAAAAAAAAGGGAGCTTGGTCACCAAAGAAAAGAGAACTTTGTTTCCAAAAGAAAGAAAAGAACAAAGAAAAGAACGTTTGAAATTTGAAAGGATAGAAAGTGTGTACTGTAGAGCAAATACTCTTTTTTTGTTATCGTTTGCACAGTAGGTGGGCTCAATCTTTTATTGTTTTGTTTTGTGCATTGTAATTTTAAAGTTTTATTTTTCTGTTTTTTTTTTTACGTTTTGTCAGTCAGAGAATAGGTTATCTTATTCTCAGCAAAAAGGACAAATTTTTGCAAGCACCCTTGTTTAGTTGGTTAGTAATAAATATTTTTTCCTTGTATAATTGAATTGGATTTGCATTCTTTTTTTTTTCTTTCGTTATTGCTTTGGGCAGTAGTGGAAATACTATTGCATCAGGTTTTATTTTCTTTCAGAAAATAAAATTTCCGAAAACCATTCTTTGCTTAATTCAAAATTTATGATTTTATTTCATAACATTTAAATGTATACCATTTAAAAATTTTTCTAAGTGTTCTATGCAGGATTGTGGAGTCAGAATACAAAACCTTTGACACTGACTCCTTTATTTTTAGCACCTCTGACTCCTCTTTATGTAATTAAGTGATTATGGCCTACAAATCTCATAAAACCTATGCATATGCTCCTAACTTGCAAATAATAAATAAATACAGAACAAAAATAAAACTACTTTATAACAGAAGTTGAAATATAATCTTTTACAGGGTGTAAAAGACATAACAAAAATAAAAATTGTATAATCTAAGGTTTTTTTCATATATATAGTTTTGCAAATACAAAATAACTACAAAAAAGTAAAATGACTTTAAAAAAGAAGTTGAGATGAATTTCTTTAAAAGAGATACTAAATATACAGTAGAAGAAATAACAATAAAAATAAAAATTCTATATAAGACTTTTTATATAAAGTGTAAATTCAACTGGATTCGGCATCCATATAGTTTTATTGACTTCGACTCCAGTAAACCCTTAATTGCTTCCGAATCTGATTCCCCAACTCCAACTCACAGCCCTGGTGCTGTGATATTTTCATTTGCTCCTAGGTGTGCTGTTGCTTAAAAAGGTTGAGAAACACTATCTTAAAATAATGACCAGCATTCATATTTATGATTGTTATTGCAATATTTTGTCAAAGTTAAGTTCAAATATTTAACGATGCAATAGAGGAATTTCTAGATATTTTATTGTCATAGAACTTGCCATGAGCTTATTCAATCATTAACTTAACAGAAAATCCAAATAGGAAAACCATGAAATTTTCACAGGTTAAAACTAGTTGCTGTAAATGTTATTTTTGGAGGCAAAGTGGAGTAATAGATAGTGGCTCAGATTGAGGAATTGGAGAACCAAGTTCAAATTCCATTCAAATCCATTACATTCACTTAGGTGCTAATACCCTTGGGAAAGGTATAAATCCTTTTCTTCTCCCCCCAGCTATGGGCGAATAGCAGGACAGACCAGGTTCTATAGGTTTTTTTGGATGGCAACACTAGTCTATTGCAGAAAGAAATGGCAGCCTACTGTGGGAAAAAATCTACCTCGTCAGTCATGTATCAAAAGATACATACATGATCGCCTCAGCGTGTATCACGCATGGCACATAACTAACTGATATGTGTTTGAGTTGACATCATTGTTATTTTAAATAGTCAGATTAATCTCAACTAGTTTAGAGATCGAGAGGTTATACTAAAGAAAATGTGCTTCCTGACAGGAATTGAACCTGTATTCTTTTTTTTCCATCAGGAGAACCAATTTCTTTAGTTGGCCTTTTCAATCTCTAGGACAGTTGATATTAATTTCATTGTAGAAAATATTGCTGTCAACTCAAACACATATACACACTAAAGGTAATGTTTATCATAAGAAATAATGTTGGATTAAAAAATGTCCATTAATTGCTTAAAATTACTTTGCTTATATATCTGAAGCAAAACAAAGCTAGTAGAGAAATCAAAAATTTGCAATGTGCATTTCTTAAATAGGTTAATTGGACCTTAATTTATGATGATGGTTTCACATGACCTAATTGGTAGGGCACACTTTGGCTTAAAAAGTGGTTGCCCCAATGGAAAGATGGAATACAAGTTTTGATTGCTGTCGGGAAGCATATTTTCTTTGGTGCGTTTTCTTGATCAGTTGACATTAATTTCACTTTTTAAAATAATGAGAATGTCAGCTCAAACATGTGTGCCTGATAATCATTTATATTAATAAGAGAGTTGTAATTCTAATTTTATCCAAATTACAAACAGCCATACAAAAAAAAAGAGATGATAGTACAGTAGATATAATGGGGCTATGTTTAACCTTCATGGCTACAAAAAAAAACTCATTACTCAGCTGTAATTGTTCTAACGAGCAGAGTTTGTTAACCATTGCACCATGTAGAGGTGCTCCAAAAAATGATTTTCTAAGCGTAACTTAGATGTGGCACAAGGCCAAAAGTGTAGAGCACCCAGTGAAGATTGAACTCACCACTCAGTTGTTTCTTTAGCAGTGTATCAACTCCTTATGAGTCACTTAATGCCGAAATTTAATTTTCTTGGGAGCACTAGTAATTTCTTTGACAAAAATGTATTGCTGGTAATTTTTTTTACTATGAAAATCTATTGCTGGAATTTTTACTATAAAATGTTTTATATTTTCATAGTGTTTTGACCCCAGTTTGGGGGTTAACTATTTGCCCATAGCTGGGATCTTAACAGATGCTACCGTCCTGGGTCACGATGGACCTGGGAATAACAACGATTATGTGGTTCTACGCTCCTCAAAATCTTCACTCTCCTGATCAGAGGCCTTGCTGCCAGATGTAGTTTATTGTCATACACTACTCAATTGTAACTGACTTAGCGAGACAAACTTGCTAACCATTATTTTCTATGTGTAACAGATGTGGCACAAGACTGAAAGTATGGAGCACCCAGTGAGGATTGAGTTCACTACTCTGTTATAATTGATCTAGTGAGACAAGCTTGTTTACCATTACAGCATGTTGAAGTTCCCCCTCCCTTCCTCATAGAGTATGACCATTACTACTGTAATGAGATTGATTGTCATTGATTGTTCTGCCTATATAGCTTCTGTATCAGACTAAGCTAAACTTTGTAATTTTTTTTATTTTTTTTTTTTAATAATTTACGAAAGATTTTAATTCTGGCAGCCATTTCAATCGAATCTCCTAGTTGTCGTCTTTGCTTTCATTTCAGGTTAAGTCGAAAACAGTGAAGCAGTGTATTCAGTTCTATTATCTGTGGAAGAAAGTCTGCCCAGATGAATATAAAAGGTTGAGAAACATTCGCCGGAAAAAGGAAAATGAAGCCACGTATCGTCTTCGGAACCAGCAGCGAGAAGAACCTCCACCCCCACCTCCGCCTCAGCGCGTTATCCATGAATTTCCAAATGAATTGACAGAAACGGTCGTAAGTTCAAGTTGATACTTCTTGCCTGGCATTCTCTTGCAGAATGAGTTCCCTTCCATTGCACTATAACCAGCTTTGATCTCTAATTATCCCAAATGGGACTTGGATATATTGGTCTCAAATGAAGTTTATGTTTGTGCTCAGACTTTGTTCTTCTTTGCTTATGGAAAGGAGTAAGGCGATTATGACTCTCCACACTTCCTTTAAGTAACTTTTGACCCTTTCATATCTCCTTTTGTGCCTATTCTGCTACCCATTCTCAAACTCGTTAAGTAGGTTACTTGCTGTTTCCTCCTGATTCTAACTAGTATATCCTGTGAGTATTAAATTCTCTAGGCTTCCTTTCCTCACTATGTGTCTGTCAAATTTCATTTATTTCTCTGATTGTAAATATAAGTTTCCTCGTAGTTCCTACTGATGTCATATTTCCCACTTCATAATAGAATGCCATTATCAATGATTTTTGCAGTTTCAAACTTGACATTTGTAAATAAAAACAAAGTACAGATAAATCTTTTAAAAATCAATTTGTCACTATTTATATTATGAACAGACCTCTCTTTTAAAATGATAAAAGGTCAATATTTTTTTATTCTGACATTTGTGGGGAGAAAGTTTAATGAATGCTAATCTAGAGAAATTGGTCAAAAAATACTTTTTCCCTACTTTTTATGAGCAGACCAGTTAACCTCAGCAATTGTGCTTGTATGTACGTGAGTCCGTGTACAGTTTTAAGTTTTATGTTTTAAGTTTTATGTTTTATTTTATGTGAGTAACTGGACATTAAAACTGAGGAAAAACCCTGACTTTTATCAGTCTTGTTTTACACTACAAAAGAAATTTCTTAGAAAATCTTTTGCAGATGGCAGTGAGATTCCATGATTTTCCTCGCGCTTAAAGGTAGTTTAAAACCATTCCCAACACACATTTGATTGCAAGTGCTACAGGCACCAAACTCTGATAGCATCTCTTACTGTCTTGGTTCAAAATATTCCTGAAGTTCACCATGTAAACACTCTTTCCTTGCCAAAATGTCGCAAGTCTAAATCTACTTCCATGGAAAGTGTTCAGACGAAGTAGTTTTACCAGTTTTCTGAGTTTCACCAGTTCTAATCTTCACAGTTAAGACCCACCATGCCACGCACTTTGTACCAAACTACCCACATTCCCTTTTTCATATTCCATTGGGGAGATATAATTTCAACTTGCAACTTTCCACAAATCACTGCTTTGTGGAATTGACTCCAAAGAGGATACTTCTCCGATCATTACAATCTTAACCTGTTCAATACTGAGGTCAACCATTATCTTCACTACATATCCCTCTAAACTGTGCCTCTTACTCTATAACCCTCAACCTTGAGTGACTCTTTGGCCAGAAAAAAATAAGAAAAACCTTTGTCAAATATATGTTATGAGTAATTTATCCATCCTCCCACTCACGCAAAATATGATACAAAGTCAAAGTTTAAAGTGGGCTTTGATAACCCTACAAAATATTGCTCAAGCATTCACCTTATTGGAAAGCCTCCTTGGTGCTTATATTCATTTGAAAGCCCTGGGCCAGGGAAGTATACATGTAAATATCCAAAGGGAAATAACTCTACTTTTTGTCCCTTGGATTTTACATTGGATATACAGTTGGTAGTGTCTATATTTGTATTAATGCTGTTGTCATCATATCAGTATCCTATAATTTTTCTTACAGCAACTTCTTATGGTAAAGTTACCATTGGTGAAATATTAGTTTATTTATTTATTTACCCAGGATAAAATTGAGGGGAATTCTGATGGACAGATGTCTGTCTCTCCAGTAGAAACCTGCAAATGTGAATTTCCTGACTGTGGTTTCGTAAGTACACTTCATTTTTTGCAAATTTGTTGTCATTTCAATTGGTTAGTTTGTTGGAATTTTGTGAATTGCATTTTGGACATTGGTTAAAGAATCGGCAGTGTTTAACCTTTGTGCCTGCAAAAAAAGGGTGGGTCTAAAAGGACGGTTATTCCCTTTATATTCCAATAGTAAGAAGAACTGTTGCTTTATGGAACAGACTCCCAGTAATATATTTTCTCAATCACTACAATTAGGGTTAACTGTTTTCTTGCATAGTTCCATGAACTACACTTCTTGCTCTTTTTTATGTTCATACAACACCATACAGTAACTGTCTATCTTGAGTGGTTCTTGTGCCTTGTATTAGGTGAACATTTGCATAAAAATGCTTGGAATTATGGCCAACTGACATCATCAATTGTAATATTGATGTAATATTAAAATTGTGTAAAATGTGTACATAGTAAACTGAGGTGTTTTGGCTCCCTTATTTTATTAATGTGATCAAAGTTTGTGCATTTTTTTTTTTTTTTCAAAGGATAATTTTGCTTGTTATAATCTATACTGCCAGAAGTTATGAAACCTAACTTCAAATGCCAACTTTATAATACACAACTTTGGCAATAAAAAATTTTTATAATTTGTTTTATAGGTTCAGCTGAAGTCTTAACATTGTTTTCACATTAAAAGTATCACTGTGAATAAACTTGAATGACACAAAATAACTTTGTTATTGGCGGCATTATAAAAATTGCCAAAATGTTATCTCTCAGTTGCCAGTCAATGTGTTATTTTCTTGAGACATATAGCACAGCCTATCAATCAAGTAATTTCCCTCAAATAAAGTTAACAAAATTAATTTCCTTGGATCCTGTGTTTACTTACTTTACATTAGTGTTAGGGTGTAAAACTGATCATACAAAGAAAAAGCAAAAAAAAACGTGTATATATGAGCCAAGGAAAAAAATTGTCCAGTCCCTATGACTACTCTTATGCCGGCATCAGTGTGCACCAACCCTTTTGTATAATGAGGGAAGTGCTTCCATTGGGTTGCAATCCCCAGGTCCATGCTCTTTTTGCTAGGCCATGAACTGCCTGAGGATGCAAAAATGGCTGTGCATCTCACACTGAAGTACGTGAACATGGCGGAGGAAGTAAAACAGATACTACACTCTGATCACAGCCCATTATCACATTACTTGAATGTAGTATTTGATACTTCACTGATTAATCATCCTTCTGGTTTTCTCATTTCTTTCCTGCCTTATTTTTTAAAAATTCTTTTTCATTTGCATTTTTCTTTTGTATTGCATTTCTGTCTTGTAGATGTTCAGCTCAAGGCAAGCACTGAACAATCATGCCCGCATACACAGTAAACCTGTCAACAATACGAACACCACAACCACCACCACCACCACCACTGCTGCCACGATCAACAATGTTGAAATGGCAACCAACCCCCTTGAAAGATCACCATCTGGAACAAGCAGTGTGAAAACATCCAGTGTTGTAACAAACCCAACATCCGTTGCTACTACCACAGACTTCCCCTGTAGATTATGTGGAAAGTGAGTATATTTAAGTATAGCATATGTAATGCCTTCGGCGGAAAAGAGGTGTATTAAACATTTGATAATTTTGTAGCAATATGTGCTTAAAGGTTTTATGCAGTTTTGATCATTTATTTTCATGGTTAGCCGTAAGGAATTGTAAATATAGGATTACTTTACACTTGAGTAAAATAATAATGATAACAATATTTATTAAGAATTTATTATAGGAAACATAAAGTTTTATGGAAACATTGTTGACAATTATGTATTTAGTTACATAACAAATAAATAAAAATAATATAAATTTTGATGCTATATTTGATTTGTTGTTAGGTATTTTTTTTCTCCTTTGTTATTGGCAGCATTTTAGAAAACTTTAGCTGCAAAGCTAAGTTTCCTAAGTTGAACAAACTGGAGATATTACATTCACACTTTGTTAACTCTCTTTTCCATTGTTGTTTTTACATCACTTTCTTCCAGTCATTTTGATGGGCAATGGCGAATTTATGAAATTTAAAATGATCTTATTCCATTTCAAAAAAACCTTAATGATTTCACGATAATTATGTAACAACAATGTAATGATATTCTGCAAACAAATTTGTGGTTTATGTTACCTCATCTCATTGCATGGTTATGAACTGTAAACCTAAAGTGAGTTTGAAATATTGTGCAATCAGCTATAATTTTTTGTAAAATATTTAGATATGATATAATGAATAATTTGCAGTGAAAAAAGCAATTTTTCGACTTTTTTGTTGAATACCCCTCTGCTGAACGTACCATATAAGTTAGTAAATTTCTACTTATATGAAAAAATATTACTTTAATCATATATAGTCTACTACTTACCAATGAATACAGAGTTGCTATTTACTAAATGTAGCTTGGTGTCAAGTATAGTGATGGTAACATTAGTGGCTTTTGTCAAGCATTCAAGAGAAAGTAGCATTAGCTGTTTGGTCAATAACCAAGCAGCTGTTGCTAATTTTCTCTTAAAAGAATTTGTCGGGAAAATAGTTTTCTTAAGTCCTATAACTGTTATTGCTCTTTCTAGTAGTGATGGGGTATTTCTTTCTTAACCTATTGTTTGAAGTAGTTTGGAACATCAGTGAGGTGTCCAATAGAGATTGAACTCACTATTCATGATTCTCAAGTCCAGCTTGCAGGTCATTTCACCATGGTGAGGCATACCCCACTGGGTATAAAGATAGTTTTCTTTAATCCGAGCATTAAAAATGAGATGCTACAGAACCATTATCAGAATCTCCTATGTAGTTTGCAGCACAAATGATGCAGTGTGAACACACTATTGAACAAGAAACAGGCTCAATGGAAGACCTCATAACCACTCTCAAGAAGAGAGTGTTGAAATGTGGTGGACATATATCATAAGAGCCACCAATCCTTCGACTGCCATTCTACTAGGTACCTACTGAGGTAAAAGAGTCAGACGGTGGGAAAGATTGGCTGACAATGTCACTGAGTAGACTGAAAGGTCATTTGCAGAAACTCAGATGTTGACATGCAACAAGACATATAGAGGGAGTTGAAGGTTGGTCCTTGCTAAGACCTACATGATTCTCTTGATTGAATCTATTTTTAAACATCCATCTGAGAATGTGGTTGTACTCAACTGACCGTCTTGATATTTCTGAACGACTTTGGTGCCATGCATGACATCTACATGAAAGTCTTGATCTGATGAGGTTATTTAAGAACATGACTTGAGTGTTACGATTAATGCTTTGGTTTTGTAGTAATTTGCCATGTTGGGCAAAACTACCTCTAGCACCATTGGGAAAGGGATAAATCCATCTCTCTCAAGCTATGAGTTATATAGCAAGTCAGGCTGGGCTCTCTGGCCTTGGTTGGCAACCAGTCTAGGAGAAGAAAAACTGAATTCAGAACCCATATTTAGCCCTGGTGAAGCACAGACTATGCAGCGATCATAGAGTACACAATGACTTTGATCTTGAATCTGGTTTTATTTACATGTGACAATTGAATTAACTGCATAGAAAAACATTCGAGATTAATTTTGCCAAAAAATATAACCAATGCAAATGTAAAATTGCTTAAATATCATTGTTATTTTTCTGATGGTATGGGTGATGAGTTCTTAGAATATTACCTTATATTTTTGTTGTATTTTTTTTTTTCAGAGTTTTTACGAAGATCAAAAGCCGCTGTGCTCATATGAAAAGTCATCGCATTGCTGAAGCTGAACGGAAAGTGGCCAAATTTCATGCAGTTTCAGAAGGATGAACAAATGGACAAACAGACAAATTGGAGGCAATATTTCATTGATGGAAAAAAAAAAGGAAAAAATGCAAGGAAGCTTGAATGCACTTCCGTGTTTTTTAGTCTGTGATTTCTGAATACAAATGTCCGTCAACCTTCCACAGATAGGAAGGCCTGTGTTTTGCCGGACTTGGGTCACTCTTACAAGTTGTCAAATCATTGGCATATTGTTCCCTTCTTTATAGATATTTTTATTCCCATATTTTGATCATTGTGATTTTTTTTCACTTTTATTCAATCCCTGTTGGGTTTAACACCACCAAAAATCATCCACAATTGATGTAGTTCTTTGAAATAATATCGATTGGTTTGGAGCTAATTTTGGTCTCTGTTGAGCATCTTTGTTAAATATTGGTTTTACAATTAAGCTTATTGTTGATTTTTTTTAATTCTTTTTTTCTGAACATTCTCTTAAAGTTTGAATGTAATTGTGGATTTGAATCTGCATGAAGTTCTAATTTGAATCCTGTTGGTTAATGGTTAATTATCAGTTTATATCTTTTAATTAGATGATAAAAAGATAATATATTTTATTGGAGGACATTCTCAAAGCGATATGCCAGGTTTCCCTTTGCTCATAGAAGGACCTGTAATAAACTTCTTTCTCAGGGATATTCATTAGTTTTGACATGAGAACACACTATTTCATGAGGTTACATATTCAGATTCATTCATTATGAAATGCCAATCTTTTCATAAACTCTTTTTTAATCATTGCCTCATCTAAAGATACATGCATATATATAATA